GATTGGCTTTGCTTCGCTCATCTTGGAGGCCTGTTGAAACCAAGATGGCTGCCATTCAAAATTTCGCGCGGGATCACCGTTTTTCTTCTTCGCAATGATTTTCTCTGCAGTCATATCACTCACTATTTTTGGGTCTTTAGACTTTTCATTAGTGATGTTTTTCTCTCTCGCTGCTCCGCTGTTCTTCAGCATATCTTGGAGGTTCGCGATGAGGCTTTCATCATTCTTCTGGCTCTTTAATAATTTTAATATCTCTGACCTGAGTTCGTTATTCTCTATCTCGATTTCCTCCTGGTCATCATTTTCATCTATTATTTCTTCGTCTTCAGTGGTGTATTCTTCGGATTCTCTCGAAATTGCGTTTGTGGATTCGTTGATTATTTCTTGTTCTGTTTCCATTTCTTTGCCGTAGGCCCTGGTGTTGGGCCTATCTTTCTTAGACATTTTTAAGTTTTTATTGAGTCAATTAACCATCCTCTGCTACCAGCTTGTTGCAATATTTTCAGGATCAGACTCAATAAGATTAGTAAGAGTTAAAGGTTTAAATATATTTCCTTTTATTTACAATAGGCATTCTATATTCACTGAATATTCACAGATAGAAGCAAGGAAAAGGGTGCATGTAGCTCCTTATATATACAATGGGTGGAGCTATATGTGGGAGTGGTGAATTATGAATACATTAAGAAGTGAAGAATAAGTTAACCCCTGATACCCCGTTTCATATACTATTTACACATTAGAGAATAAGGCATTTACATCTGACAGAATGAATTGTTAAACTTTAAAGAAGAGAACAAATATGAATAAATAGCAATAATTAGAAACACACATACAAACATACAACGTATTTTCTTCGAACAGAGTATTTGGCCGGTTCACAAATTTAAACAGTGTTTAGTCATTTCAATTAAATTTACAATTTCTATATTTCCTTTTTGCCATATTTATTCCTCATCTATTTTTTAAAAAAACCAATATTACCCTTCATCCTCATCTCTAATCTTAATCAAATTCAATTTTTCCCTTCTATATTATACCCCTTCCCATTGTCATCTATTTTTATATCCATCCTCACATTGGTTAATTATGTAATTATGTAATACAGTTGTTTAATACAAATTCAACATTTTAATATAAATCAATTAGTTATATAACTATCTTTTTTTATATTAATCAATATGAACATGAATATTCCAATTATTTCCATGCAATCCAATTTCTCACAAATCAATTAATTATATTTACCAATAATAATAAACCAAATAATTTCCCCCATATATTCCTCCAAACCACAACTTAACCATTTCTACTTTCAACACAATATACAATTAATAGTATCTCAATTATTACAATTCCCTAGTTAAATAGAGCTTTTTTTCTTTTGTGTTTTAAAATCTTGAACCTCCTCTTTTGCCCTAAATTTCCCATTGTTTGCAGTTTTGCACCTACCTTTTTTGGTGAGGAAAAAGAAAAAGAAATCTCTCTCTGCCTCATTTTGTCACGTTGCAGCAAAGACACTGCTTTACTTTCAGTTTCGCTTTTTCAGCATAGCTAGGGGAAAAAAATCTGCTCCAGCAATTTACCTCTTTGCAGCTAGCAACAGAACAGAGCCCTGCGCAAAACAGCTGAGAGCAAATCAGCTGAGAGTCAGGAGGCTGATCAAATCAATTTATGGTAATTAACCTATGCTGAAGCTGAAAGGGGCTGTTTTTTCTATTTTTGCAGACACACTCAGTCTACTCATTTGTTTTCTTTTAACACTGATCAGCTGTAGGGCGGCCCTTTGAAGCCCCGCGGCAAGAATTTAAACAGTTTTTTTCCCTCTAGCCATCAGCTGGGACTCAGGAGGCAGCAATAGATTGGGAGTGGGCAGGGTAAGCGAACAGCAACCGGGCTGGGAACCAGTTCGGGGGTGTGGCCAGCCAATCTTATTACCGGTTCTCCGAACTATTATTTTTTTTTACTACCGGAACCGGGAGCGGCGCGGGGGCGGCAGGGAAACCCTGAACTTACTCACCCAAACTTTTTCTGTTGGGCTCTTGCAGCTGCAGGTATCGGCGGTGGCAGCAGCAGCAGCAGGGAGTCCCTGAACTACCCAGGATTTTTCCTGCACTAGAATGTTTTCTAGTCACGTGCGCACATACTCACATGCACGCAACCTCTCTCCGCTCTCTTTGCTAAAGCGTGGGGCACCACGTTGCACGCTGGGATATGCAGCCCTCCAACAGAGGCAGAGGGTGAGGGTGAGTGAAGGTGTGGGGGGGGGCGAGAGAGGGCTTTGGTGACCCCTGTGAAATGGCCGTTCAACCCCCAAACGGGTCGCGACCCCCAGGTTGAGAACCGCTGATTTAGCAGGTTCTAATCCAGTTACTCTACTTACTCCTGCTTTTCCAGTCTTTTTAACTCTTCAATGATCAGCAGCAATGCATATCTGCCAAATAGGATAGGATCCTATTTAATTTTTCTAAGTTGAACTTCTGCAAATTCAGGGTGTCCATAAACCTTCTTATATCACCCCTTGGACTATTTTGCATCCATGAAAATCCAAATCCAGAGAATGAATTTGCCATGGGTCTATAGCAAGAGATATGCAACCTTTCCATTCCTTTTTATGCAGCCCTTCCTTAAGTTCATGCCATTAAGTTTCACTGGGAAAAGACTAAAATACGTATATGAAGCCTCTGGTAATTCCAACTTTGACCATTTCAAGGAATCTCATTGCATTACCTCCATACCCACTATTGGTGGGTTAAAATACTTTTACAAAGGGATGGTCCACATTTGTGCTGCAGCTGCCAAAAAAGCCAATACAGTCCTAGGCTGCATCAACAAACCATATGGATAGTATCAAGACCATATGAAGTGTTAGAACCATTTTATACTGCACTGCATACTTGGTATACTGCTTCAAGTTTTGGTCACCATGATGCAAAAAAGATATTGAGATTCTAGATAGAAAGAGTTCAGCAAAGAGCAATGGAGATGATTAGGCTAAATTGTATTATGAATGGTTGTGGGAACTGAGAATGTCTAGTCTAATGAAGAGAAGGACTAGGGATGACATGACAGCAGTCTTCCTATATTTGAGAAATATTGGAGAGAGGAATATCACAGAGAGGAGCGAGTCATCATATTTTTCAAAGCACCTGAGGGCAGAATAAGATGTAATGGATGGAAGCTTATCAAAGAGAGATCCAATATAAAGGAGAAATTTCCTGACAGTGACAACAATTAATCAGTGGAATGGCTTGCCTTCAGAAATTGTGGGTGCTCCATCACTGGAGATTTCAAGAAGAGAGTGGACAGCTCTTTGTCTGGAATGGTATACGGCAATGATGGCTAACCTATTCCGGACTGAATGCCCAAAGTGTGCACGTACGTGCCCGAACCTCCAAAATTCAATGTGCGTGCTGTCTCCGCACATGCGCCCTGCCCAGCAAATACGCACACGACGCCATGCACCCTGTCCCCCACACACACCCCCACGCATGCACATATGACTCCCACACATGCCCCACCCCTGTGCATGTGCAGCAGAGACCCGCAGACCAGCTGGCTGGCGGGAGGCGCACACGCATGCACGGCTGTTGTGGCTCCATTACCTGAGCCTGTGTCATCGGCAGGAGAGGACTCCGAGAGTGAAGAAGAGGAGTTGGCAAGGCCTCCCTCTCCAGGACCCTCCTCTCTGGCAATGCCTTTGGTGTCCGCCAAAGAGCAAGAGATAGGGCTGGGGCCAAGCACGTCCACGCAGCCACAGATGGACAGTGATGAGGGTAATAAGTCTTGGCTGGACCCACGCCAGCGCCGCAGAGATAAGCGCGCGCAACAGAAGAAAGGGCATGCCCGAGATTAGGCTGAGTCACTGGACCACACCCCACAGGATATAAAAGGGAGCGTGGTGGTCAGTCAAACCTTGTGACAAACAAAGCTGAAAGCTTCCACGCCATTCTGCATTGCCGGACTTTTGCTGTAAGACTTTGCTGGAAGTATCTCTGGACTTGATTTAATTCCGTAATTATTGAACTGCTTTCCTTTGATGTATTAGAAGTGGGGAGAAGTTATCTCTCCTCTTTGTAAATAATAAACTTTTGGCAGGCAGCCACTAGGTTGTTGCCAAGTTCCGTTATCATAAGGAAAAGGATTTTGCCAGCTGGTTTAATCTTTAACTCCTGAACGTCTGTTGGTGTGTGTGTGTGGGGTTGGGGACAGAACAATGGCTGAGCTGTACTTGGGCAATGGCTCGCATGCCCACAGAGAGGGCGCTGCATGCCACCTCTGGCACGCGTGCCATAGATTCGCCATCACGGGTATAGGGTCACCTGCTTGAGCAGGGAACTGGACTAGAAGACCTCTAAGGGGCCTTCCAACTTTATTATTCTGTATTCTATTCTGTTTTCTGTATATATAAAGGTAAAGGTTTCCCTGTCCAATCATTTCTGACTCTAGGGGATGGCTTTCATCTCTGTTTCTTAACCAAGGTAGCCAGCATTGTCTGAAGACCACTCCATGGTCATGTAGCCAGTGTGACTATAAGATGAAGTGCATGGAATGCTGATACCTTCCCACTGAAGTGCTACCTATTTATCTACTTGCATTCGCATGCTTTCAAACTGCTAGGTGAGCAGGAGCTTGGACAGCAAATAGGAGGTCTCCCCATCATGCAGTGGAAACTGGACTGTCAGCTTTCTAGCTGACAAGCTCAGTGTGTTTGACCATTGACCCATCGCGCCCCCATTTTGTATATATATATACAAAAAATATAGTATTATTGTATTAGATAGTATTATTGACAATATGGCCTAGAAGATACAATTGTGTTGCAAAGTAGTTCCCTAATCTAATAATTTGGGGACTTGGATGTGACCATACAAGAAAAAGTGGCTACCCTTTCTTTCATTATTCCTTCTTGAATCATGGAACTCATTAGCACCAGCACTGAAAATTAGTAAACCCCATGTCAAATCCCAGCAAGACTGGCATTGTTTGTTTGTTTTTACCTGGCTGCACTTGGAGACGTAGTTTTTTCTTCAGTTCTATTATCAACTGTTGTAGCTCTATCCACTTCTCACTAAGGTGTCGTTCTGATGCTGTAGAACAGTGGGAGCTTCTGAACTTAATCCCCTTGCTGAAGTGGTCCCTGTTAGTTTCAGGTTTTATATTTCGAGAGTTGTTTGTTAAAGGTCCAATCCCCTCCCTAGGGATTTCATTATGTGTAACTTCAGGATAGGTGTTTTGGAAGAAATCTGACTTTGATATGATCTCTGATGATCCTGTATTCCTGGTGAGGAAATAAACCTGTGGCTCTATCAGCCATTTTCTTTCAGCAAAAAATGAGTGCAAATTTGAACATCCCACATGGTTGAGCTCTAATGATGGGTATCCAGTTCCATTCTGAATTTTCCTTTCCTTCAAGATTTTTTGGTGACTTGTAGTGATATTCTAAATGCATGATAAATGAATAAAATGTTAAATTAGAATTAAAATGTTGCTTAAAACTTCATGTATATAGATATGTAAATATACTGTACATATTCAAACAAGGATTCAGCTAAAGAAATAATATGGTTGATGATTGCTACTGGATCTTCATTGTCAATTTCTAATTTGTATGAAAATTTGGCCAATTTTGAAGATTAGAAGTAGTCAATTTATGAAGGGTTTCAGTCATTTATGGCCAATGCTCTGGTACCTACATGCTAGTAATATCATATCAGAATATCATATCAGAAATATCAGAAAACACTTAGGAACTAGGAGTGGTTATTGATCCAATTATTCGATCAAGTATTGATACATATTAATGAATATTATTAAAACATTTTAATGGAAGAAAGTGATGATTACATCAGGGGTGGGTTCTTCTTACCTTTATTACCGGTTTGCAATGGGATCGTGCGTGCGCGCCCTGCTTCTGCGCATACACAGAAGCTTCTGTGCATGTGCAGATCGCCAGTGACAACATCTGGGGCAGTGGGCAGGGCCTCGCCTCCCACCAGTTTTACTACTGGTCTGAACCGGAGGCAACCCACCACTGGATTACATGTAGTATATCAATGCTTATTTTGGGTTTCAGAGGCATATGACTCTTTTGCAGTCATTTCAAGGTTTAAATAAATCAGGAGCCTGGTAGCACATTTTCAAACTAACACATTTTATTAAGAAGCATATGCTTTCATGAACTGCAGCTTACTTCATCAGATTCTACAAGAATTAAAACCAAATGAAAAGATCAAGCTTTCACAGAATCTTAAGGAACAGAAAGGGTTCTCCAGGCAACTGTTTTACTTTATAGATAATTACCATACTATAATATTAAAATATGATTGAATACAGCTCCCATGCAATATATTCAAATTTGCCTCTCTTCTTGCCACCTTCTCCCCATTCCAGAAGTCTACAAGAAGCAGCTTATCAAAAGATTATGTATATTTGCAATGTTCTCAGCTGCACAATCTTTTTTTTTTAAAAAAGGTAGGTCCTTCTACAATTAACTGTAGCCAAATTATTTGTGATTGAGTTCAACAAATTAATTTGTGCATGTGAATGCAAAAGCTTTCATTAGAAAGAAATCATATTCTGGGATGGGGAAATTATAAACATTTTGCATCCTCTCATCCAAATTTTTATGAGAATATTCCTGCAGAACATTTAAAAAAAAAAAGAAAGGGATAGAAAACTGCCAATAAATCACAACATACTTATTTAATGAAGGATCTTCTTGATCTCAGAATTACAGTATTTTACATGGCAAATCCAATTCAAAAGTATCATTTCATTGCTTGATGATTAATAGTTGATACTTTTTAAATGTGTCAGTATGATTGAAATTATGAATTGTCAGTTTGCTGACATTTTGATGTTAAAATCATTTCACATTTCTTTATAATATTTTATCTTTAAATAAGCTTATGATTTAAATTAGTTTAGCAATCATAATTGGTATCAGGTAAGGGTGTACATCCCCTCCTCTAAAGTAGATGTCTAAAACTTACTTACTCCCTTTATCCCTTTTTGTGGTGGGTACCAAGGTCTACTCAGCAGCCTATTTTTGAAATTTCCTTTGATGCGCTGTGCCACCTGGCAGGGAGGTGTTTCAGAATGCAAAGAGGAGATTTCAAAACTTCCTTTGATTCAGCAAATTACTTTGCTATTTCTTGCATCCTGTTCTGAACTTCACCTGATTTCATTGCCTACTTTTGCTCATTAGGCTTGCCATTTCTGCATGCCTTTTTACCATAAGGTAGGGCTTCCATTTATGGGATAATTTGTGAGACAAATCACCTATTATATTTATTTTGACTGGATGTTTGATTGTGGACCATAGCAACTGATGGGACTTTCTTTTTTGTGGGTTTTTTTTTTACCCTGAAGAAATGATTGTGCATAATTTTCTGTTTTGCTACTTTGACTCTGTCTTGCTTTCAGAGAGGAAAAAAGGAAAAAGGGAAGTCCAGTTCCATCATACACCATTTTTCATTTTCTATGTTATTTAATTGTTTAAATGACAGAGAATTTAGTTTTTTTTCATTCTTTTAAAATGGATAATGAAGAAATGAAAATAATAATAGTTATATACAGATATTTCACTCTTAATAAACAATCTTACTATGCTATTTAAAAAGGAGGAAATTAGATGATGGTATTGAAGTATTGAAGAAATCAATTTATATTTAATTTAGAGTATAGAAAATGATGGCTGGCTTTTGCAGTATACTATACTCTAATTGTCTATAATTATAGACAATAAATAAATAAATACAAATAAAAATAAAATATCAATGAAAAATATATTATTATTATTATTATTATTATTATTATTATTATTATTATTATTATTATTTATTAAATTTATATACTGCCCTACTCCCAAAGGACTCAGGGCGGTGAACAGCCAAGATAAAATACACATAATACAAATATTAAAAACCATTTAAAATATATTAAATACCATGGCCCGAAAATTAAACATCCAAAACCACTATTTTAAAAGTTAGAACCCATAAGCAGTAGCTTCCTTCTTTAATAAAACAAATATGTCATCCCAATCTGGCAAATTAACACAAGAGTTCATTCATACACATAAGAGTTCATTCATACACATTATCCCAAATTGGATGAGAAGTGAGATTTACAAATGATACTATTTAAAAATGTCTTTGCACAGAGCAAGAAGACTGTCACTTAGCCAATGGTACAAGGATGACAGGCAAACATCCTTTCTGGTGATCTAGAGCTGGTCTCTCAGTCCAATTCCCACCAAGGCAGCATCTAGGCCTTTCAGAGAGCACTGTGTGGGAGCAATATATATTTACTGTATTCTCTCTCTACTTGGAGTTTCTGTATTTTTAATTTTAATTAGTTTCCTTTTTTTAATGTTGGCTTTTCTACTGCTCAGTTTGTGTGTATATTATTTTTTATTTGATTGTTGTATGCCCAGAATCACTTTCCTTGAGATGGGCGGCTATATAAATGTGATAATAAATAAATAAATATAAATATAAATATATAGATAAATAAATTAATTTTAAAAAATCCTCCTGCAAAATAAACATACAGAAAACTAATATATATCAAGGAGAAGACAGACTAAAATTTCTTTCCCCCTCCCAAAAGCTACCTTCCTGTAATGAGGGGTGGATTTCTTTATTCATTGGAAGGTGTGGGAGTATTCTGACTTGCAAGCTCCTAGGGTAGTTTCAACAGCAGGGTTGCCATCTGAGAAAGATTTAGCCTTTAGAGAGCAGCCACATTCTTCTTCACATATTAGTTCCTTAGAATGACATGCAGCTCAAGAACTCAAAGCATGTGTCTTTTACAACTTGCCAGTCTGTATTAGAAGAGCATATTCAGTGAGTTCCAAATATATTATTGCATTGAATATGACTGACGGTTATTCATACCTGAATGTCCAGTCTCATTTTCTGAACTTGCATTTTGAGATTCTCATGCCTTGCTATTAAGTCATGACAATTCATTTCTAGGATACAGTTTCTCTCCTTCATTTGCTGAAGCTGAGACTTGAGATTCTCCTGGCTTGTTTTTAGCTCATGCCACTTTGTTTCCATTACAGAGTTTCTGGGTTCTTGAGCAGAGTGAGGAAGTTGCATTTTGTCTTCCCATTTGTTCATCTATTTCCTGAGGTACCTACAAGATACAAAAATGATATCATGACATTACTAAATTCAAGAAGTACAGAGAGTCTTTGATGTTTAAATATTCCAACAGAATATGATTATACAAGTCTTTTAAAGTAAAATTAATAAATATAACCCTGGGACTTCCTAATGGTCTCCCATCTAGCAGTTTCAATTTGCTCAGCCTTTCAGGTTCAAATAAATTGAACTGGATGCTGCCATCTAGCTAGGCACATAGTATGAACTTTTCACTTACTCCTAGTTTGATTTCTGTTCTTCAACTGTCTACCAATCCAAAGCAAACCTTTCTCCTTTTTCTAACTCTAATTCTTCTAATTAATCTACAACTCTTTTGGTTACTTCTGGATTTTTCATTCTTCATTGCAAGATCATTCTAAGCCTGATAATCTGTTCCCAATAGTAAATTTCTTTGGGATTTGCTTCTGTAACCCAATTATTCTTTGAAGCTTCCTATTCTATTCAATAATATTTATTCATGTATTTGTTATATTTCTTATCCTTTCTCCAAGAACTCGAGGTGATTTAGATGGAAGGGATGGGGAAAAGATCTCTCCAGGCTCCAACACTTGTTCACCATTAATCATTATCCTGCTGCACACCAATAAACAGAATTACACCTAACTCACTTTTCCTACAGATGTTGCACTCAAAGACAAATTCATTGAATCCTAGTGTCAGAAGAGGCCATTTAGGATCTTAAATATAGTCCCCTATTCAGTCCAGGAACTCCACCTTAAAACATTCCTGATAAGCTGCTAACTATAAGATATAAGATTTTGTTATGAATTTGCTGGTGTTTGCATGGCTGTATGAATGTATAGCAATTCCCAACAATTCCATGCTGCACTTATATTGTTATACTGGGGGAGAGAATAGGAAGTATGCATAAACATGGATTTCTGATGTATTTGTTGCTCTCTCTAAACTGATTGTAGCTCTAATAGGATGATATTTCAAGATCTATTTAATAAGATCCTGTTAAATAATAATTTTAATAATATCAGTTAATAATTTCATTGTAATGTTTTAAAAAAAATTAGGGCAAGCAGAAATGTTGTAATCTATAAACTATTAACTCTTAAGCAATAGCAACAAAATGTAAATTAGAACAGCTTATGTTACACATTGCATAATAATTGTATGCATAATTTACTCCCAGTATTGATAAATACTATCAGGAAAGCTTAGTGATCAATTATATGAGGGTTATAACTATAAACCTCCATAAACCTCATTCTAGTGCATGGCACACTCTTTTCCAAAAATTGCTCATTCAGCATATTTCAGTTCCTTTAAGATGTTTAGGTCAGGGAGAATGGAAGACAGCATTGCTATTGTGCCTAAGAAAGATCACATATCAAAAATGAAAAACTGCATTATGCCATTTCAATCATATACTGTCAGATGTAAATGCCTTATTCTCCAATGTGTAAATAATGTATATATGGAACATCAGAGGTTAACTTATTCTTTGGACTTTAATGTATTCATAACTTACCACTCCCATTCCTAGCTCCACCCCTTGTATATATAAGGAGCCACCCTCACCATTCTCGTTGCTTCTACCTTGAATATTCAGTGAATATAGAATGCCTATCATAATTAAAAAGAAATATATTTAAAGCTCTAACTCCTATTATCTTTATTGAGTCTGATCCTGAAAATATTGCAACAATCTGGTAGCAGAGGATGGTTAATTGACTCAATAAGTAATTAAAAATGTCCAAGAAAGATAGGCCCAACACCAGGGCCTACAGCAAAGAAATAGAAACTGATCAAGAGATGATCAACGAATCCACCAATGCGATTTCGAGAGAATCCGAAGAATACACCACTGAAGAAGAAGAACTAATGAGTGAAAATAATGACCAGAAAGAAATCGAAATAGAAAATAACGAACTCAGGTCAGAGATATTAAAGATACTAAAAAGCCAAAAGAATGATGAAAGTCTCATCGCGGACCTCCAGGAGATGCTGAAGAACAGCGGAGCAGCGAGAGAGAAAAACGTCATTAAAGAAAAACCCAAAGATCAAAAAACCGTAAGTGAGATGACTACTGAGAAAATAGTTGTTAAAAAGAAAAGATGTGATCCCGCGCGAAATTTTGAATGGCAGCCATCTTGGTTTCAACGAACTTCAAAAGAGAATGGAGCAGAGCCAATCAAAACGCTCAGTTCAAAATTTCTGGCGCGAAAAACACTATCAGACGAAGAAAGTGAGAAAGAAGTCTCAAACTCTTCAGATGATCCAAAATCAGAAAGTGAAGACGATTTAACAAAATCTCAAGTAAAATCAGCAATGAAAACACTTTTTGCTGCTTTTGGGCCAAGACTGAAAATTACCAAGACATCTACGAAGAAGCAAGAAATCAAACCGGCGACTCAAGACCTGCACGCTCCCATCCTGACTTCGAAAGCGACGACGCCCGAGCCCAGAGAGCCATGCCGATTTCGCCCTACACCACAGACAAGATCGAATACCAACGCACACAAAAAGAAGAAAAGAACCGTCGCCACCACCAGAACCCCAAAAACCGAGCCAGAGACCGACTCATCTGAGGAGGAGCGGATCGAGAGAGCTGAAAGGGAGAGAACCTTCCACGACGCCACCAAAGAAGAAATGAGCAACGCGCATGTGCGAAACTACGTAGACGACCCAGAAGGACTTGAACTGGCCAGAGAACCGCGCAGACTCATTGCAAGCATCCCAATGCCGTTCTGTAATTTCCTGCACTTGAGAGATCACGGACTGCCCCAGGTTGTAAGTAATGGACAGAATAATGTAGGTAACTTACCCAGTGACTTCCCAAAACTTAGAATTGATGGCATTAATTTACAAGAGTGGTATCAACAGCTTCAGGTTATTTTCATGAAAGAAAATTTACTATTCTTTATAACTAGCCCTCCAAGAAGACCTTGGACTTTAAAAATAGATTGTTTACATCATAGAGCATTTTTCATAATAATATCTAGCGTGTCTCCTGCAATGTATCATAGCATCAAACCAAACCTAACTGTATCAGAAATAATTCAATGCATGTTTAATCTATTTCACAGCGATAGCGTAGCTACAACCACAAGAATGTCTAAGGATTTCTTTTCCTCTAGAGTAAAACCAGGGGTTTCTGTAAGTGAGCATTTGATAAATCTAAACAAAATAAGAGCTGAGCTACAATTGAGGGGGGAAGTGATTTCAGATCAAACAATGAAAAGTGTTATTATCAATTCACTTGATCCATCATGGGATAGCTTTATGTCACACTTAGATACCATTAATTTGGGATATTTATCCATAGAAAGTCTATCTAACAAATTGATAGCAGAAGACAATTCAAGAAAAAATCGATCCAGTAACCAAACAGACCACAAACCTTTTAGGAAAGTAGTCTTTCAAGATAAACATAATGAGGCCTTTAGATGCTACAATTGTGGATCCAGGGAACATAGTAGAAGAGACTGTCCCAAAGTCTCAAGAGAGAGACATAGGCCAGAATATAGGAGCAAAAATAATTACAGACAATCTTCCACAGATAGACACAAATATAGAAGTCCACCAAATTACAAAGAAGGTAGAGGGGGTAGAGAAAATTCAAAAGAGAGGAAATCTGGGTCACTGAATGGGCTAAATAAACAAGACAGCACCAGAACACAGCAGGATGAGAATAACAATTGGCTTATTGATTCTGGTGCAACAAATCACACCACCAACAACAAAAGTATATTATCTTCATTTATAGAAGATAAGTTTGTGATAAAGGTAGCTAATCAAGAAAAGGTTCAAGTACTAGGCAAAGGAAATGTGACCTTGCCTGGTCTAGGGAAAATAGAGGGGGTATTATTAATCCCAGAAATACCTCACAACATACTAAGTGCCATAAAATTAAGCAGAGAATCTGATATCAATATAGTTTTCTCAAAAGGGAAAGCAACTATAGAAAAGAACAAAACAAATGTAGGTACTGTAATGATAAAAGGAGGTCTACCCTATCTGATAACTAAAGAAAGATGTTTACATAACATTGATTCAAATATGGAAGATTGTATTGAAGCAGATGATGAAAATGTCAGTAACAGTGACAATGATGAGTGTAGAATAACTCATGATCACAAAAATACATACAAGGAAAAGAAACCAAAAATAGGTAAACCAATTCATGATGAGTGTGCTCACATCTTACACAGGAAGTTAGGACATGCAAGCTTTCCTGTAGTACAAAAAATGACTGAACACGCAGAAGGTGTCAAAATAAAAAATTGTGAAAATTATTTGGAATGCTCAGTATGTAAATCCACCAAACTAAAAACCAGTCCCAGACCAAAAAAATCTAACAGATCAACTAACAATATTTTTGATTTGGTACATATGGACTTAGTTGGTCCATTAAGTCCCTCAATTACCTATAGAAAACGTTACTTCCTAACAATAGTGGATGACTACAGCCGATATGGTTTTGTTTACACATTAAAGCACAAGGATGAAACATTTCAGAAATTTAAGGAATTCTACAAACGTATAGAAACACAACATAATATCAGAATAAAGCAAATTATGACAGATAGGGGATGTGAGTTCATGTCTAAAGAATTCTCCCAATGGTTAAAGGATAGAGGAATGTTACATTTCACGTCCAATCCTTTTTCTGCATTTCAAAATGGAGTTGCAGAGAGGAAAAATTCCACACTACAAACCATGATTAGGTGCACATTAGAGGATGCTGGTTTAGGCAAACAATTTTGGTCAGAGGCATTACATTATTCGAATTACACTCAAAATAGAACCTGGTCCAGTATTGTGAATAAGACACCATATGAGGTGATGTACAATAGAAAACCCAAATTATCACACATGCACATATTTGGAGTCACTGCAGACGTACACATACCTAAACAATTGAGGAGAAAGGGAGAAAACGTATCCAGGAGATTAAGATTCATGGGATACGAAACTGGAACCAAAGGGTACAGATTTATTGATAGTAATAACAAATTTATAGTATCCAGAACAGCTGTGTTCCATGAACAGCCAATTGGTCAAAATTGCACCTTAATGAAATATTTCCTAATAAATGTAAAGATACGATATCTTGCGAGGAAGGAACAACAGAAAATCAAAAATATTAACAAAAGTAAGAACAAAACCAAAACTTGGACTAATAGTCAGCATAAAATAAAGACAGACACATTAACAAAAAAGGAAGCTAGATATTTGCATGATAACCATAGCAAGCCTGAAAGAACTATTAGAAACAATAGAAACCAAATACCAAATAAATACAAAGATTACATAATGCATATGAATGGAGAACAAATAACACCTAATACATATGAAGAAGTATTGAAACTTCCACATGAAGAAAGAGAAAAATGGGAACTAGCTATGGAAAAAGAGATGGAAAGTTTACAAGGATTAAATGTATTCACACCTGCGATCGCACCTAAGGATAAAACAATTATAGGTACCAGGTGGATTTATAAAATTAAGAACTTAGAAGGAGGCAATACCTTATACAAGGCTAGACTAGTTGCACAAGGCTATGCACAAAAATATCCAGAAGACTATACCGATACATATTCACCCACAGTGAGAACAGAGAGTGTCAAAACAGCCCTTGTAGTAGCATCTGCACTCAATCTGGACGTATTCCAATATGACATACAGACCGCATACTTACATGCAAAATTAGATAAGGAAATATATGTAAGAGCACCACACAGTCAATACACTAATAAGAACGAAATTTGGTTATTAAATAAGAGTCTGTACGGATTAAAGCAATCCGGCAAAAGATGGTACGATTGCTTGGTAAAAGTACTTAAGACCATGGATTTCAACGCCACCACTGCTGATAATTGTTTCTTTGTAAAAAAGAGTAATGATCATATTGAATTTGTATTAATTTACGTGGACGATATTTTATACATTGGAAAGCATAAAGAGAGCAGGGAAATCTTTGTAAATAAGTTAAATGAACACTTCTCACTGAAATCTCTGGATAAAGTGAATAAATACCTTGGTGTGCAAATTAACAAAACTAAAAGGGGATTCAAACTTACACAGAAAGATAAATCATCGAACTCCTAAACAAATGTAACTTAAATAATGCCAAAACCTGTGACACCCCTATGCAAACTGATTTTCTTAGAAACACTGATGAATCTTCCCCTGAGTTTAAAGACAACACATTTTACAGATCAGTTATAGGTTCACTCCTTTATATATCTAATTGGACTAGGCCAGATATTGCATTACCTCTCAATCTATTGTCAAGATATGTTAGTAAACCAACCTTGTATCATTGGGAAGCTGTCAAAAGAATTCTAAGATATCTGAAGGGTACATTAGATTTTTGTTTAATGTTGGAACCCAATAATGACAGAGAACCAAAAATTACTTGTTATGCTGATGCAGATTGGGCTGGTGATACATCATGCAGAAAGAGTACTTCTGGTTATGTTTTTCTATTGAATGATTGTCCAGTTTACTGGTATACTGGTAAACAAGAACTAGTAGCCACTTCTACTACAGAAGCGGAATATGTTTGTTTGTCCAAGGCTGCAAATAACCTTGTATGGTTCAATGATCTGATCACTGATGTTTGGAAGAAACCCACTTTACCATTTATTATGCATGAAGACAATAAAGCGGCCATTGAAATATCCAGATCCGATGCAATTGGACAAAGGTCCAGGCATATTGATATAAAGTTTAAGCATGTGAGACAACTGTCTCAAGACGGATTCATTAAAGCAATACATTGCGATACTTCTGAACAATTAGCTGACATATTAACAAAACCCTTACCTTCTAAACAACACAAATATTTAACTTCTAAATTATATGTATTATATTGTCCTGAATCAGAATGTAATTGGTGTTGTGTAACGAACCGGCATTTAGAGGGGGATTTGTCAGATGTAAATGCCTTATTCTCCAATGTGTAAATAATGTATATATGGAACATCAGAGGTTAACTTATTCTTTGGACTTTAATGTATTCATAACTTACCACTCCCATTCCTAGCTCCACCCCTTGTATATATAAGGAGCCACCCTCACCATTCTCGTTGCTTCTACCTTGAATATTCAGTGAATATAGAATGCCTATCATAATTAAAAAGAAATATATTTAAAGCTCTAACTCCTATTATCTTTATTGAGTCTGATCCTGAAAATATTGCAACATATACTTTTCTTTTACTGGCACCAGCCTTAATACATGCATTTTCCTTAAATGAAAGCCTTACCTCTATGCTAACAAGCTATTGAAGATCTTCAGAACTGGGAAGGGAATCAGATCAATCTGCCCTTGTTATATTAGGGCATCCCAAGAAAAGCTCTCTGTTTCAAAATAGTACATCATAATAATGCCGTATTTAATTCTAGCCATTAGGCCATCATTACCATAAAAACCTCAAGCACATTAATTTATAATAACTATTCTGAATAATTGAAGAGTGCCTTTGATCTGGCTCTCTAAAGGTTATTTCCAGCAAATTCACCTTCTGCTTTTCTAGAATGTGAGAACAAGCAGTTACTGGTTGCTGAGGAACACAGTGCTACTATGGCGACAGAAAGCAAGAGGAAGTGTGTGTCATTAATATCTTAAAAAGAAAATTACGTGGTTTGCTTCATTACAATCTATTTTTTAAAAAAAGCTGGAACTGAAGTTTATTTTTAAAGCTCTCAAGATTATATATTACAAGAGCCCAGCAAGGGATTTTCTAATATTATTACAAAATTGAATATTTTGTATCGACTCCTGCCTTGGGCTGAGATTGGACTAGAAGACCTCCAAAGTCCCTTCCAACTCTATGATTCTATTTCTATCAGATATAGCTTAAAATGCAGAAGCATTCCTACTATCTGAGTTATATGTAGCCATTAAATGTTTCCTTCTCCAAAAGAATTAAAAGCCTGCCAACCCTGATAGCCAACATTTACATAGCACTTTATCAGAATAATGGGTTTATTCCCAGGTGATTCTATTTCCCAAAGTGTCCCCAATTATCAGTGGAAGAGAGCATGTCCTGCTTTCCTCACTCTTCTCTCCCCAAACCTCTGTAAATATATTCAGAAGATAGCTCAGTGGAAATGAGGATGAAGATGCTTGGCTTGGCTGGTGGGAAACAATCCATGATGCTTGTGTGTATTCTTCCATCCATAGGCATATAGAACAACATACAGATTTTCAGTTTTTTAAAGAAATATTTTACAGTATTTTAATTCATGCCAATTTAATTCACCTGGATTAAGTCAAAGCATTTAAAGACAAAATATAAAATACTGATATATATAGAACATTAAATACATAAAAAGTAACGGCATCAGTAAACAGCTGTTAAACACCATCCCATAAATGTCTATGAAGATTTTCAATCACCCAGGTCATGGTTTTCCAAAAGGTGCTTTCCAAAAAGGCACCTGGACTTTCTTGGGTTTTTTTCCCCTTGAAGATATTTTGCTTCTCATCCAAGAAGCTTCTTCAGTTCAGTTTTTCAGCAGAACTGAAGAAGCTTCTTGGATGAGAAGCAAAACATCTTCTCGGGGGCGGGGACCAAGAAAGACCAGTTGTCTCTTGGAAAAGCACCTTTGGGACAACCATCCCATAAACCAAGTAATCTAAGAACCCCAGAAACTACTTTGACATTACATTGAGAAGGAGAAACTGAATGGCAGAGATGAGAAAGAATATAACAGCTGAAAATGGTAAAGAATTTTCAGTTTTACAGATTTTTGCAAAAAAATTTAATTCTGTAGACTTCAGTATTTTTCTGTCCATTCCTGTGAACTGTTTATACTCCAGTTTTTGGAGTAGCAGGTACATTCTAATCATGATATCCTGACATTTTGCCCAGCAACTGTGGCTGGCATCATCAGAGGTAAAATCTTTGTAATCTGGTTAGAACAACCTGAAAAACCCGAAGTAGCTGAAAACATAATGGGCACAAAAATCAGTTTAAAGACAGACAAGTACTAGCAAGCATATCAAATCATCATGCACAACTCCAAACAGAAGCTATTGAGATTTATAAACTAACAAGCAGTACAGTCTGAAAATTAATAAATGTTTTGTTTTCAACTTGCTAAAATAAAACAGCCCTTAATTAACAAAACACCATATAGCAATCTCATTTGAGTCATTCAGTCATTCAATCATTCAGCAGTCACTGAAAAATAATAAACATCAGCAAGATTCAAAGACAGAAACTAAAAAATTAGCTGGATTCCCCAAATTCACCTGGATGAAGAACCAATCAGAAATTAGCTTTCCAGAATTCCAATGACAGTGTCTAATTAGAAATTAATTCAGTTACAAACATAAGAAGTCTGTTCTGGCTCAGTTCCCTGTGAGCTGCCAAGTAGTACACTATAGAGCAGATCACTTTCACTATTCTAGGTCCCAGCCATGGCTGCTGACAAAACAATATGATATTAAATAATTAAAATATGGCCTATTAGCCTGGAAGCTCATCGCCACCGATTGATGCTGGCTAGGAAAGCCTTCGTTGATACATTGCTTGTAATGTTATAATTATCTCCAACCACAGAATGTTTCTATGGTCACTGAATTACAGCACATTAAGACATTTCAAATATAAGAAATAGCTAATTACTGTTATGGAAAAAAAATCCCAAAGCCATAGTATTTTAGTATATTTATTAGGTCTAAATAAGGCATTACAGAACAGAGGCTGGCAGTTAGACTGGAAAAGTCTGCAGGCTTCATTTGGAATGCTGAAGAGGTACAGGCTGGATTGGAGGTGAAATTGATTTTAGATAGCATTGCAGATGGAATAGAAGTCTGCCCATAGCAGGGTAGTTTTGAATTTAACACCTCTAGCACACCTTGAATTTATAAGCCTTTTCCAGCCTAGAACATTATCTTTCATTTAATGTTATTGCATTAAAACAGGGCTAAGCTTGTTAATCCAAATATTCTGACTCCTTTACCACATGAATTTGGCTAAAGCTAATACATTTAACACATAATAAAAGAAAAAAAGTCTTATGTTTTTATATAGCTACATACTCCATTACACACAGAATGAAAAAGCAGTATTTCCTGCACTAAATCTATTATTGTTAAGTTGTAGAAATCAATTCATCCAGGAATGCTTTCAGTTGCAACTGATAGGATAAATTATTAATTTTATTCACTCTGCACAAGTTTAAACTTTACTTAAAATAAACCACTACTGATGAAGTATCACAAGCTATAGAATAAAAATAAACAAGAAGCTGGTGTGTTTTGCTGTTCTTGCTTTTTCAGTAAGATACTGGATTTAGTACTCTTCCGACTGAAGAGTTATCTTATGTTTATAGATCCCTGTGTAAACATGCACAAGTGTACATTTTTTCCACATATAAAAATGCCTTCTAAAAAAAAGACAAATAAAATTATAGTCCATATCAAAGAAAAGAAAACCAAATACACATCTGAACTGTATACCTTTTGTCATATTTTCTCACAATTGATCTTGCATCACTATTCTAGTCACTTAAATAACCATGAACAAAAGGATGCTTTTCAATTAGTTTGATTGTTTTTATATGGGGTTTTATATTCTGTAAGTTGCCTTGAGTCGACATGTGCGGATTGGCAGCAATATGAATTCATAGATAAATAAATAAATTTATGTGGTAACACACCAAAATTACATGCACACAGGAATGTTAGTTATGACTTTACAGATACTGTAGTACTATAAATCCCAGGAGTCTCATTTACTATATCTACTGTTCATCAACATCTAGATGGCCACAGATTCCATAGTGCTGTTCTAATGTCTGCAGGAATAAATTGAGAAACATTCCAAGGAGAAGTATTTTAACATACACCCATAAATGCAGACATGAGTGCTGCCATCTTCACTATTTATTTAACAGAACTAACACAAATTTCATTCACACATCACACAAATCCATAAGGTTAGTTTAGTGACAAATAGAGGTGGAGATATTGGATTAGCCAAAATGATAAAATCACAGAATGCTTGAGTTGGAAGGGACCTTATAGAATATCTAACCCAAACTCTACGCAAGAAACAATTAAACCATCCCTAGTTTATGTAGCCAATGTTAGTGTGATATGCACTCCCAGGACTCAGGCTTCATTCACTTATGAAGAAACCAATGAACAAAATCATAATTTGTACATATCTTTCTTATTCTAGGAGAATAAAAACAGATAGATAAAGCCTAAATCTTGTTTGCAAATTAAGCTAGGCTACTGGTGGTTTGTTTGTTGTGACTGGTCATGGTTTGCCCTAGAATCAAATTCAAATTGCCCTCCTCAAATCTCAATTCATCAATTCAAATCAAATATATTTTACACAGTTCATTCAAGTTGTATAATTTAAGATGTTTGGGTCAGGCACATTTTTACTTTTATTTTTGCATATTCACATTTTGCCAGCTTTATAGTTTTGGGTGATATAAAAACTAGAAATACAATTCAGTAAAAATTATGACTAACAAGAGGTATAACTGAATACTTAAATCAGTGGGAGTCAAAATTCAAAACCTTTGAGAAGATGCCAGGCATCAGTAAATATCAAAATAACTTTAAATTGCAAATTAAATTTGACAAAATAAAACACTATTCCTTCTTTACATTACATTTCTTGAAGTACATCATACAGTTTTTCTGCATTCATTAATAAAGCAATACAATTTTCATTACATATTAAAGAACTATTTTGCATTTAGCTTCTTAATCATCTTCAGCTTCAATGTTTTCGTCTTCAATATTTTTGGACTCATTTAATTCGTCAGTATCTTCTGTTTCTGTAATTGACAGAACTGTTAGTTTTACACATGCTCATCTACAAAGTGCTCATCTTTTTTTACTTCAAAAAAAGTGTGTGTGTGTATATATGTTCTGTATGAATACTGAATGCATAATGGATACTTGTGAATCAAAGAAAAATTCAGAATGAGAAAGAAAAACAGTCATTGGACACCACAAGAAATAATGTTAGCTATCAGATGTGGTAGAGGTGAATTTAAATCAAGGATTGAATAAGGACTCATGTTAGTTTTAGTAATGTGATCTCTTTTCCACATTTGTATTTGTAAAAAATGGCTTGTTACAGGTTATCTGCAATCAATTTCCTGTCATACAGGTAAACTTAGATGTGAACAAATGCTTATATGCATGACGTTGTGTTTCTGTCTTTTTAACACTGTTTCTAATGCTACTTTACTAATGCTAATGATCAAGGGCCTAACTGTGTACTCATGTGTGTGACTAATGGTGATACATGAACATTGAACAAACTGGAGACAGTATAGTTTAATAGAGCTACACAAAAAAAAGGCTGTCCTGCCAGCTTCTTAACGTTCCACTTTAGAGTTAATTTATATAAGTACCTTTACAATTTCATCTTTTCAAATTAAATAATAGATCATTTATTACATTATACATACAGTACCTAAACTACCTAAAAGGAAATGCTTTTCAAAAAGGTCAATTCTCTAGATTAGCTACAGTTAACAAACCTGACTTTAACTCACTGCTTTTTTCAGTTATAGTAGTCAGCCAACTACTAACTCTCCCAACCAAAAGAAAAGGAAAAAAAAAGAAAAGAAAAGAAAAGTGGTGTGAGAGTGTAATTCTTTGCCTGGAATTCAGTCACAGAGAAATGGATTGCTTTTTCCTACTTGTCATTTATCTGCCTTGACTAGCGCCATGCTCAAACTAATTTTGAGGGGGGGGAAAAGCATGTAGAAACAGATTTACCTTCAGCAACAGTTTGATCTTCACTTTCCAAGGCTCTTTCTTGGTCAATTAAGGAAGCTCTGGGTTCTAAAAGAACCAAAATCAAAGATCAAGCAATCTCACAAGCTTTTTGCAACATGCATTGCAATTCCAAGACTGAAAGATGGCTATAAAGACATCTATCGAGCACTATACAGGTTTTCCCCCTTCATCTATGTATACCGATTGGAAATGATTTTTAAATATAAATTTAAGGTATTACTATTAACATTCCTTAAAAAAAACTTAGTTGTTGGTTTGTAATTTTATATATATGCTAAATAGCAATGTAACTATATAACTAAATTAGTAAATTACTACTTTTAGGCTATATACTTACAAAAAAGAAACAAAATCTATTCTATAAAAAATTAGTGAGACAAGAAAAAAAAGAAAAAAAATCCAAGGCCGATGGCCTTCACTGATGGTAAACTGGGGACTGCTGGAACTTCTGTTGCTAAGCGGCATGGTCACGTGATCTTGGCCTTTATGAACGCATTGCTTAGCCATGGAGATTCCGCTCCCAGTCACTATAGTTAAACAAGGACTACCTGCAAAGGCCTTCTCCGGCACACCCAAGGCTCCTGGATTTCAGAGGAAATAAGGGCAATGGAGCCAAACAATGTACCAAACAAGTATTTTATCAGTACAATATGCATTGCCATTCAGTCTAAACTAAACTGTATTCCTTTTGTAAATTCTCAGAAGTTTTGAAAATATCATTGTTACTTATCATTGATCATAATACATTTATAGAAAAGTATAATTTTGCTCTCGATGATGAGATGGGCAGCATATAAATTTAATAAATACACAGTTAATAAGGTAACAATCATATTATGAGCCCAGGTTTTCAACAACAAAAGCAGGAAAGTTTATTAGCCATTTCAAAATGTGAACTGCTTCAATTTCTAATGAGAGGAAAGATTTAATTTAAATATACCCAATTCCTTCTCTGTTAGAACAGGAACTAAATCCCTTCTCTAATTAGAACCAATAACCTGCCAGGATTGCAAGAGTACTAAATAGGAACTCTCAAACTGAGTCCACAATGGTAGGTATTCAATAATGTTTCCATTTCAATACATGATTAACAAGCCTAATGAAGTTTAAAAATCAAAATTGAAACTATTGTCAACGTAAGACATATCTTTAACAAGGAGATCCTTGATATGTTGTTAAACATTTTGTCACTAATTTAGCGATCATTTTAATACATTTAAATGGTACCCTGTCTAAGCACTCCTATATATCTGGGAAATACATTTTGAAATATTCTTATCCGCAAAACTGGAAATTTCCTGAAGATATTATAAATTTGTATGATGTCATAACATGTCTGATATCATTTATTCTCCAGCTCTTATTTTTGAAAGTTTTTATGGAAAATGTATCAAAGAAATCCAATAATATTAGTGGTACTGCTGTTATGCATCATATATATGCTCCCAAATTAATACAATAAAAAGTCCTGAAAATCTCTTATAATTTAATCAAATTTGACAATCATTTATCAACTGCCTAACTGAATCTGGCTGATTAAAAAACATTAAGCAAGTTCAACCCTTGTTATTAGTAGATGAGATCACGAGGAAATCCCAGGGTTATAGGTTTGATTGGGGAACAACAACAAAAAACTTCCTGGAAGAAGATAATGGCAAATCATTTCCTACTGCTGAGAATAAAATTACCATATTTTTTGGTGTATAAGACGCACCTTTTTACCCCCAAAAAGGGGGTGAAAATCTGGCTGCGTCTTATATGCCGAATGTAGCCCCGCCCACCCGCTGGCCCCCACCCTTCGGCCATTTTCGGCCAGTTCCAGGCGGCAGGGATCTGGGTCGGGGCACAGCCTGAGGAACAACCCTCCCTCTTCGGGACAGTGTGGGGGGGGGAATCTGCCCAGCAGCTTTGGGGAACAAGGCGGGTGCCACAATTTGCGGCTGGTCACCCCTCTGGCCGTGCTGACTTCACTCCCCAGCAATGTGAGGAGCCGCCGCCGCTGCCTAACCCTCTCTGCGCCCAGGAGCCAAGCCGAGCTGAATGGGAGCCCCTAAAGGGAAACATTCCTCCTTTCCAGCCATCGCTGCCCGATTCCAAAATGCAAACCTCAAGAGTCGCGCTTCAGGTGTCACTTCAATGTGCAGCAGGGAACTGGGAAGTGCTTTGGATTCGGGGAGGAGATTGTAGCACTGATGCCTAAAAGTGTTTTTCTGCACATTGCAGAGCCGCGCGCCGTCCTCCTTCTCAGCAGACTCTTCTCTTTCCTCCTGGCCAGATCCGCCGCTTGAAACACGGTACACTTTTTTTTGTCTCTGCACACACCCCATGTTTGGAATCGGGAAGGGGATCGCGGGTTCGGGCAGCATTCATGGATTATTCATATCCCAGCTGCACATTGCAGGGGAACTGGCCGCCACCTGAAGCGCGACTCTTGAGGTTTGCATTTTGGAATCCGGGCAGCGATGGCTGGAAAGGAGGAACGTTTCCCTTTAGGGGCTCCTTTAGGGGCTCCCATTCAGCTCGGCTTGGCTCATGGGTGCAGAGAGAGTTAGGCAGCGGCGGCGGCGGCTCCTCACATTGCTGGGGAGTGAAGTCAGCGTGGCCAGAGGGGTGACCAGCCGCAAATCGTGGCACCCGCCTTGTTCCCCAAAGTTGCTGGGCAGATTCCCCCCCCCACTGTCCCGAAGAGGGAGGGTTGTTCCTCAAGCTGGGCTATGTCCCTCCCCCCAGAGCATGCTAGGGGTCTCTTTGGGGGAAAGCGAGTAGTCCCTGCACCTCTCACTTGCAGGAGGAAGAGGAGGGCGGCGCCACCTTAAATGCTGGTAGGCAGAGGTAAAATACTTTTTTCCTTGTTTTCCTCCCCCAAAATTAAGGTGTGTCTTATACTCCGGTGCGTCTTATACACCGAAAAATACGGTATATGTCTGGTCCATGAAATCATCAGGAGTGTTATTTGAAGCCTTTATATTTATATTGTCTCCTAATACATTCTGTACATTTGCCTATCCAAATTTTTTTTTCAAACAAGTTTTTTATTTTTATTTCACATAAACACATTTACATGTACAGTCATTTATCCATCATTTTTCATTCATCTTATCTTTTAACTTTCATTTTTCATTTTTATTTTTTCGGGGCTGCTCTTTTACCTTTATTTCAACTTTTCTTCTTCTCCTCCCATTCTTTTCCTTTCTCTTTCTCCTCCTACTTTCTTCATTCTTCCTCTCCTTCTCTCCTACTTCTCCTTCCTTTCCTCCACTCTTCTTTCCCCCTTCTAACCTTCTCTTTCTCCTCCCTTTTCTTCCTCTCCTTTTCCCTTTCTTTTCTCCTCTCCTCTCTTCTCCCTTCCTCTCTCTACTCCTTCCCCTCTCTCTTGTTGTTTCCCTTTTCAGTTCAATCTAAAGTGGTATTCAAGCAGCCCCAATTTTCTAATTATCTTAATTTTCATTTCAATTTCTTATTCAATTAATATTTATTTTTATTTCATCATTTGTGTACATTTTTATAATATCTCACTTTTTTCCCCTTTTACCCCCCTCCCCTTTTTCCTTTTACTTGGCATCATCTGGGTATCTATTTTTCTAATTGTTTTCTCGCATCTGCTCTAAATCTATTTTATCTCTATACCCTTATTCATATTTCCTTTCTAACCAATCATAAAATTTTTCCCATGTCTTGAAATACATCAACTTCTCTTTATCTTTTATTCTCAATGTTAATCTATTCATTTCTGTACATTCTAAAATTTTCTTTATGCTTTCTCCTTCCAACCGGATTTTATCTGCTTTCCAATTTTGTGCAAATACAATTCTAGCCACTGTTATTATATGAATGATCAAATACGTATCTTCTTTACTGTAATTCTCTGGTAAAATTCCCAGTAAGAATATCTCTGGCTTTAACTCTATATGTTGCTGCAACATTCCCTCTAACCATGTTTGTATTTTCACCCAATAATGTTTTGCTTCTTTACACAAGCACCACATATGATAAAATGCATTGTAACACATTGTAAGCCCCCCTGAGTCTCCGGAGAAAGGCGGCATATAAATCAAATAAAAAAAAAATGATCATGGCAACTGGTGACATTTCCAACACTTAGCTGATTTATCTTTAAGCATCTTAGCTAATCTTTCTGGTGGCATATGCCATCTATAAAACATCTTATACAAATTTTTTTATAAGCTGTTGCCACAGTTAATTTATAGTTTCTTTCCCAAAGTTGTTGCCATTTCTCCAATTCTATGTTGTATCCAAAATTCTTTGACCATGCTATCATTGTTTCTTTTACTTCTTTTACTTCTTCATCTTCTTAATCATTTTTTCATCTGTTCCTGTCAATATTTCATCCAGTTCTGATTTCCCCAGGTTACATTTGCCTATCCAAAATTTGTTGTGGACAAAAACACTAAATAAGGCTAAGATAATACCTAGCCATCCTAGACAAGTTCAATTAACCAGGACCAGATGGATTACACTCTAAGGTTCTGAAGGAACTGGCAGACGTGATCTCAGAACTACTGAACTGCATCTTTTAAAGATCCTGGAACACTGAGAAACTACCTGAGGATTGGAAAAGAGTTGATGTGATTCCTGTCTTTAAAAAAGGGGAAAAAATGGATCCAGGAAACTACAGATCTATCAGCCTGACATCAATACCTGGGAAGATTCTGGAAAAGATAATCAAGAAGTGAATCTGCAAACATTCAGAGGCAAACAAAGTCATAACCAGAAGCCTACACAGGTTTGTCAAAAACAGATCAAAGAATTATTGAATTCTTTGAGAAAGTGACAAAAATAGTGGATCAGAAAAATGCTGTGGATATAATTTACTTGAACTTCTATAAGGCATCTGATAAAGTAGACCAAAACTGACTACTTGGCAAGCTAGTAAAATGTGGAATAGATAGCACCACCACCAGGTGGGTTTGTTAACTGGTTGACAAATCATACTCAACGTGTAGTCCTCAATGGAGTACATCCAATGGAGGGAAGTAAACAGTGGAGTACCCAAGGCTCTTCTTAGGCCCAGTACTCTTCAATTTCTTCATCAATGATTTAGATGAGGGAATCGAAGGGGAACCCATCAAATTTGCATATGGCACCAAGCTGGCATGAATAGCCAACACACCAGTAGATAGACTAAAGATACAGAAGCATCTTGACAGACTTGAATACTGGGCCCTATCTAACAAAATAAAATTTAATGGTGAAAAAAATAAGGTTCTACATTTAGGCAAGAAAAACCAAATGCACAGGTACAGTATAGGTGGTATCTGACTCAATAGTAATAACTGTGAGAGAAATCTTGGAGTTCTAGCACATAGTCACTTAAATATGAGCCAGCAATGTGCTATAGCTGCCCAAAAAGCTGGCACACTCCTAGGCTGCATTAACAGAGAGATAAGATCACATGAAGTGTTATCACTTTATAATGCTTTGGTAAGACCACACTTGGAATATTGTATCCAGTTTTGGTTGCCACGATATAAAAAAGATGTTGAGACTCTACAAAGTGTCCAGGGAAGAGCAACAAAGATGATTAAGTGAATGAAGGCTAAAACATATGAAGAACGGTTGCAAGAATTGGGTATGTCTAGTTTAATGAAAAGAAGGACGAGGGGTGACATGATAGCAGTCTCCCAGAAGATGGGGTCAACCTATTCTCCAAAGCACCTGAAGGCAGGACAAGAAGCAATGGATAGAAACTAATGGAAGGAGAGAAACAACCTAGAACTAAGGAGAAATTTTCTGACAGTTAGAACGATTAGTCAGCTTGCCTTTAAAAGTTGTGGATACTCCATCACTGGAGGCTTTAAGAAGAGATTGCTATACCATTTATCTGAAATAGTATGGGGTTTCCTGCTTGAATAGGGGGTCGGAGTAGATTTCCAAGGTCCCTTCCAACATATATTCTGTTAAAAGTACACATATATTGCATGTGCATGCGCGCACACACACACACACAGAGTAATTTGCAGCAAACCTCATGTAAAGTAAGAATAAAGTTGTTAATTGCAGGATGCATAAAACTGAATCCTTTAATTGGGAAGGTACACAAACAGAAGTATAGATTTTGTGAAGAAATAGAGAAATTTTCTTCATAAGAGACTTGCTGCCTCTAGGATGTTACTTAAATTCAGCCTTAGAGATTAGGAAGATGTGGGTAGGAGAACAAGTAGTGGATGTAAAGAGTTTAGCTGGGAGAAGGCATAGTGAGACATAGCTCAGAGAGATATGTACAAGAAGAAAAGAGGAAGAGAAAGATTTCTAACTTTACCTAGGATTCGGAGCAAGAGCAAGACAGGGAGTTAATTCTTTTGTTACAGCCCAGGAGATACACATACAAACGCCATGTACAGATTCCAAATTAATATTTAACATTTCCCCCCTTTTTAAAAATGCTCTTGGTTTAGTCTGAGGTATCATTTCTTTAAAACTCTCTATTATTAATATTTTTGCTATTTCATTTTTGTTTTAATTTTGTAAAAATAATGTTTTGGGAATGATAATAATTATTTTTAATTGCAGTCTTCAATTATAGTAAAACATTTCTTTGCCTTACCAGCATTTACTTCAAAGTCTTCCTCTTCTTCTGCTACATCACGATATATTGCATGGATGTCTGTAAGAAACAATATTTGTGTTGTCCATTTAACTATGCTCATTCTATTATTATGAAGAAGAATAAAACACACATTGTCAATTGGCCATAACAAACTGAGTTATCATGTCTATGTTTTGAAATCTGGCAGAATCCAAAGAAAATAATAAGCTAGTTAAAATGTTATTGTTATTACTGTTTGAAGTTAAGGTAAAGGTTCCCCTCGCACCTATGTGCTAGTCGTTCCTGACTCTAGGGGCAGTGCTCATCTCTGTTTCAAAGCCGGAGAGCCAGCGCTGTTCGAAGACGTCTCCATGGTCATGTGGCCGGCATGACTAAACGCCAAAGATTCATGGAACACTGTTACCTTCTCACCAAAGGTGGTCCTTATTTTTCTACTTGCATTTTTTACGTGCTTTCAAACTGCTAGGTTGGCAGAAGCTGGGACAAGTAACGGGAGCTCACCCTGTTACGCAGCACTAGAGATTCGAACTGCTGAACTGCCGACCTTTAGATCGTCAAGCTCAGCATCTTAGCCACTGAGCCATCGCGTAAAGTTAAGACTGCATTATTATATCCATGTGTCTGGAGGTTAGCTCCATGAAATTTGATTTGTATAGACAACTATAGATTTATATTGTAAATTAGGGATGTATAAATTCATAATGACAAGTGCTAAAGTCCAAAGGTAGCAGAGCTGTTTTAATTATTTCTATTTTTTTCCACAGAAATAAATTGCCAAACTATCCAATTTAGGAACATTGCTGCAATTTTTTAAAAAGAATCAAGACAAAGCCAAGGAACAAACTCTTATTTCAAACAGGACAGCAGTCAGATGAAGCATCTGGCATAACACTGATACAGTAATATTAAAAATGATGATGGTTGAATGGAATTAATCCCTCCAATGCTCCATGTCACCAATAGAAGGCATATGGACATGCTGATTTTCTGATTTTTCACTTTAAATAGCTATCAGAAAACAACATGTTGCTATTGTTCATGAAATGGAAGCCTGCAGTGACTACTTGTTAAAGCACCTTAAGGAACATTGAATTGTTCACTGCTGAAGGAATCCCTCCAATTGAAATTCACTGCTGAATGCAGATTATGATGATAACTACATTGATGTGAATACTGTGCATCATTGAGCCAAAAACTGTTAAGACTGTGAACTAGAGGAGTTGATTTGTGTGAACAAGAATAAACTGCATGACGACCCATAATAGCAATCAGCAAATTCCATGTGACAAAGACTAATGAATTGATTAAGGACAATCCACTGATGAAGTTTGAAATTTCACAGAAACATGCATTAGTGATATTCTTCAGTATTGGAAGGTTTCTACCACATGGGTTCCTTGCATGCTCATGATAGAGTTGAAATCTTCAAGAGCTGAAATGTACAAGCAACTACTGCCAGGCTATGCAAATGAAGGTAAGGACATTCTTTATAGTTTGGTGACAGTTAACAAAACATGGAATCATCTTTATGAGCCAAAAATAAAGTGTCTGCCCATGTAATATCATCAAAAGGTTTCACCTACTGTACAAAAAAAGTCAAAGCCCAGACATGGGCAAGTACATTTATTGTTATAGATTTTGTGATGCAGGTGGTAATTTTTTTTATTTATGAAATTTATTTGCCACCTATCTTGTAACCATGATTCTGGGTGACTAGTTCAAATGGATTTTTTGAATCTGACACCACTTCATAGCACTAGATTGCAACACTCAGCATTTTGGAATAATGATTAAGCAGAGTTCAGAAGCACAAAAGGGCTGTTCTGTTGTAACACAACAAGTCTCATACATTATAAACCACCCAAGAAGTGATTGCATAGTCTTACACCATCCCCATACAGTACAGGCTTAGTACCATATGACTTCCACCTTTCCCAAAATTGAAGGAATATCTATAGCAGGGCTGTCAAACTCGCGGACCATGGGCTAGATGCATCATGCACTGTTTTTGTGAAGTGGAAAAAAAGTCCTGATACGTCATGTGATACTGCGAGTTTGACATCCCTGGTCTATAGGGACATCAGTTTGTCTAAAATGGTATAGGGTCTCCTGCTTGAACAGGGGGTTGGACTAGAAGACCTCTAGGTCCCATCCAATTCTGTTTTTCTATTTTCTAAGTACATGAGTATGTGGAGAAGTATTCAGGTATTGCCTGTTTCACTTATTAAAATATCTCTATTTAAAGTTAAGTGAAGACATTATTTTTCAATCATCCATTGTATGCTTTCCCCTTTCCTTGCCCTGCCATTTGACCAATCTGAATCTAGTTTTCCAATTCACTCCAAAAGGAAATGAAGTCTATGGCTTTTTCACAATAAACTAAGACAACACCATGTCTTTGATGGGAAAACCTCCTTTCCCAAAGCCCTGACATGGCTGTGTACATTTTATAACTTAGTTTATCTCAACCATGTAGCAATCCCACCTGTGTAACAAAAAGAAAAACAGAAAACTGATGCAAATTATTTCTTTACTAGAAAATATGTTCCAGCACAGTGCTCTGACAAGGCATCAACGCTAAGAGTCTGTGCTTTTCTTGTTTTGTTATGAGAACAAAAGAAAGGATGTTTTCATTTTATTCTGAAAGAAATTAAAATTTAGCCTTTTCTGATTTTTCTTCTTTGTAAAAGGAGTGTTCAATGAGAACATTTTCTATTAATGCCCAAAACTGCTGCAACATCTTTTGGAACTGAGAAAAAAACAGGTAGCATGGAGAAGATGGAGCAGAGTGGGTGGATTAGGAAAAAATGGGCAGGAGCTGAAGAAAGGCATTATGGGGAGGCTGGGAAGAACTAAAACAGAGTAGGATGAGGAAGAAAGAGTGGAGAGATGGAAGAAAATATGGTTAATAGGTAGGTAGGAAATGTAGCAGCAACTGAGCATAACAAAAAGAAAAGCTGCTGGGGGAAGGGTGGAATGGAGTGGGGAAGGTATGTAGAGTGCTTCACCCAATCAGGATTTATGAAGCCCAGAGGCAGCATGTTTTGCAGTCCTATAGTTGTCAGTAGTGATAACTACTGATAACCATACAAAATGGTATGTAGGGAGGTCTTGAGGCCTCAACTATGAGGACAAATAAAACACCTATACCACTCTAGTCTGAGAGTTGAAGCAGCTAAAATATAAACTTATTTATTTCATCACTTTTATACAGTTTAAAAATTTGGTAATAGAATATTTATTTTTAAATTTGTTTTATATGTACTCTGTGATCTTATGCACTGGAGACAAATTCCTTGTGCGGCCAATAAAGTGTTCTGTTCTGTTCTGTTCTGTTCTGTTCTGTTCTGTTCTATTCTACTCTACTCTACTCTACTCTACTCTACTCTACTCTACTCTACTGTAAATATCATTTGGACTGTTTGAGTACTAATAACTTGTTACTAATATTTACCTCTTCTCTGTGGATTCAGTTCTGCTACTTCACCTAAGGCAACTTGTTTTTCCTGCATAGAAAAAAAGCTGTATCAATTGGAGATGATTTATAATAGCATTTATAATGACTTTATTAAGAATTTTTTTCATTAATAAAATATGTGTCTCACATAAAAATAATACGCTTCTCCTAAACAATTAATCTGTTAATCTCATAAGAGTGGATTTGATTTTAACGGAAATTATAATTATAATTTCCACAGAATAATGTAACTTGTTATTTTTCAAATAATTTTTGCTAATTTTTATGTTTACAGAAATATTTTACAATGACAACACATATTGCCATTGACCACAGATTATTTAAAAACCTTCAGCTTGTCTTTTTTGAATTCACATTACAATAAAGATCTGTCAATTATTTCACGTATCATGTCCTATTATGTACATATTCTTTTTTCTGTTGTCCACAATAAGCAGCTAACAAACTATCTTGAAAATAATTTTAATATAATAATTTAATAATTTTCAAATTAATTTTAATATTTAAATTTAAATGATATAAAAGAACTGGACATTAGACTCTAAATGACTGTGTCTTAGTTGATTTTCAGATAAGGTTCACTTTGTAGAACAGCTGTAATATCTTGATGAAAGCTTTCTAGACTATCCAAACTGAAAGAACAAATTATATGAATAATTTGATATGAAAAATATGAAAATATGAATATGAAAAAATGAATATATATATATAAACAATATTATTTTACCCGAATGAGATCACAAGCCAGGATTAGAAGATATGACTGAGTTTTTTCATTAATTTCTATTTCTGTAGAGATCTCCCAGCTGCCATTCTCAAACCTTACGGGCATTGAATAAACAATCCCCTCAGGCAGTCCAAATTGACCTACGAAACAGAAATAATTGACTTCAAAAGTATGAAATACACAAATAACAAATGCATAATTAATACAGAGATATTTTTTCTATGCCATTTGAGCATCACAAGAATATGATGCACATCCCTCCATTCTGATTCTAAGAAAATAAAACAGAATGACTAGAATTGACTTTTAGCAATAACAACTCCTTTCTGGTCTAGGAATTACTCTCACTGCTATGATGGAGAGAGTAGAGGAGAATTGTTCTAATCACTATAACCTAGGTTTAATATACGTTTTCTAGACATAGCCACTAGTAGAGGTATAATCTAGAACTGGAGTGTCAAACTGGCGGCCCATGGGCTGGATGTGTCACATGCAGGCCATGCCCATTCCAGCTCTGTGAAGGGAAAAAGTGTCACAAAACGTCACATGACAGCAACATGACACAGCGAGTTTGACACCTGTGATCTAGAAGGTATAATATTTTACAGATCTAAAAAAGTTATTAATAATAACCTGTAATAAAACCTTGTATTAAATATTAATGATGCATGATTTGTTAGAAATCCATCTATAGAATAGGGAAAAACCCAATAGAGCACCATTATTATTGTTAACAACAACAATAATAAGTCAATTATTATTATTTCTGACTGTACCAAGTTGTTCATTAAAAAAACCTCTTAAATTACTTCACATTCTCATTTTGCTTGAGGATCTCACATAATACTACCCCAAAATAGGGGTAGTATTATAAGTGCTGGGAACAGACTGATTGTTATAATAAATATTATAAATAGGTTATACATAAATGAACAAATATGAAATATGCATATAGGCCAGAGAACCAGATTAATTTGATGCCAGAACTATATGCAGATCCATAGAACAACTCTTAGCTATCCAAAAAAATCCCATCTGAGAAGCAATTTCCATATTAAACCAAGAAGGAAGAGTAGAAGTAGACTTCATGCATATATCTACTTTTATTTAAAAATAAGGTAAACAATGGATAGAGACAGAAAAATTTGTGTGGATTACACCTAATGTTCCTATTTCAGTTAGATTTCTAAATTGAGATTCAGAGAATTGGCTCATGCTTAAAGTAGATCCTGTATGATCACAGGATAAAACCAGTTAAAGTTGCAGAGTTCTAGTCCTGCCTTGGACACAAAGCCAATTGGATGCTCAACCCTAAGGAAACAGCAATGGCAAATCACTTCTGAAAAACCTTGGTAAGAAAACTGCAGGAACTAGACTAGGTAGTTTCCAGGTGTCATAACTGACTCGAAGGCACAAAATCATCACCATCATCACATTATCAGTCTAATCCAAGAGGAGGGATTGGTGGCATCACTGGTATACATATGGCTCCCCATCTGCAGCCCCTGCATCCAGATCACATGGCTAAAATGGCTGTGTATTTTACAAGTGCAAGGCTTTAAAAACACAGTCATATCTGCCATCTTGATTTTTTGATCCCCCTACAATAATCTCCTGTTGAAAATATTCAGCTTTGGTGAAAAAGGTTTTAGTGACACCAAAAGAAGTGGGTCAAAAAAGCTTTTCAAGACATATACCTTCACTAATTACTCCCAAGGAGATCATTTCTCCAGGAGGGGATCCTTGGTACCAGTATCTCAGCACAGTAGCGATCGTATGTGCAGATGCCATTCCTAAACCACGAGCTCCCCAAGAAGTTAATGAACTCAGTGAAGCCACAAATTCAATTTGCATCCATTCACTGTTAACAAGAAATTACAGCTTTTTAAAAACATAATACAGAAAACAAATGTAAAAATGTCCTCTGACAAGATGATTGCCAATCAAGAAATTTAAATTAGCAGGAGGGGTCCTGGAGACAAGCTTCTGTGCTGGAGCTCTCCTCCTCCTGTCTCTCTTCCTGTAGAAACAGCTATCCTTGAAAATAAAAATGCACCTTGTTATTATATTTAGAAAGCTGTTAAAACATTATTATTCAGGCAGTCATTTTGGTATCAGAGACACAATAATTATGGTATTATGGAGTTAACTAAATATTATGACTTTAGAAAATGTATTGTCATGTGTTTTATTATACTTCTAAGCCACATAGATTTGCGCAATACAGATGTCTGTAACAGATAAAAATTCAGGGAAACAGTATTCAGAAACAATTTTGGTAGCAAAATGTGTCTTAAAATCAATGAAGTAGGACTTTAAAAGAACATTAGATTAAAGCTGGACAACCATTTCTGAAATGTTATAGGGTTTCCTGCCTGAGCAGGGGGCTGGACTAGAAGACCTCCGAAGTCCCTTCCAACTCTGTTATTCTGTATAGCTGTTAATTACCAGAGCAGCCCATTTATTTACTTTTTAATACAATAATCTTAATTATTTTAAAGGAAAATACCAAGTTTTAGGTCATGACATTCTTTAATAATACAGCATTACATACAGGGTTAGAAATATCACAGAAATTTTAATTTGTATCAGAGTTCTAGAATTCTATTGGTAAAAGTAGGAATGTGCCTAATATTAAAATGTTTACATACTTTTACTGCTAATTATTTTGGGTGTTGAACATAAACAAAGGCAATTTTAAATTTAGGTAGACAACAATCTTAACACTTTAATGTCAGTCACAAAATATCTAGAAAATTAAATGTAGAAAATCTAAAGTTAATTGTGAAAAGACTCAGACATATACAGCATTTTTAAAGACAATAATGCATAGGCAGATATACTTTAGTACAGCCAAAGGCCAGCTGTTCCATAGCACATAATTCTCATTTTTCATGTCCTTCAGTTAAATGCTGCTTTTCGACTGCAACAAAGGGCCAAAAAAATAATTTTAAAGGACTAAAGGAGTATGAAATAGGTTAAGGAGTGAAGCAGATTTATATGGCACAAACATTTATACATTTTCTATGTTTCTATAATGTTTTAAGAACTGTATAATACCAATTTTTTTAAAAAAATCAGAAAGAATACCGATCAAATAGCACATCCAACAAAGGACGAAAAAAACTTGGTGGGCCCCAGATGGCACTGTCATATCTATATAGCTCTGTTTTACTCAGATCAACGAAGCTATTGCCACTGATGTTCCCCCAAACAATGAGGTTTTTTATTCCTGTTGAAGACAACAATGGAAAATTGAAAAAAAAACAGACTAACAAAATGAAAGATTAACCTATTCCAGCACCCTATTTGGCACTAAAATACCTCAAACCCATAAGCAGTCAATAATGGTCCCAGTAACCGTTCCCCAGCATATAGTTCTTCTAAGGTGCTATGTAGTCAACATGGTCACCAGGATAAATAACAACTATCATTTGTGTAGCCTTTATTTGAGTCCTTCACATTCTCTTCCCTAAGGCACCAGAATTCCTTTACATTGATGCATAATTTTGAACAACTTGCCTTCTGTGTATATCCAATCCATCAAAATGTATATGCCTTGTGAAATCCAATCCATCAAAATGTTCAGCCTTGTGAAATCATACTATTACTATCTACAATCCATTTATCACCTCATGAATTAGGATCCTTCCGTATGCCTTTAGGGAGAATAGAGGATGACCTAGGAGGGGAGCAAACATCTGCACTTCATTCCCATGGCCAACTCCAATTTTTCTGGGAATATGTAGATAGGGATTTTACAAAAAGACTCAGACTAGCTCTATTCCATTCCCCTAGAGTGTAAGAGGAAGACACGTGGACTGATCTGCAAGATTTTGTTATTATAGACTATTTCAATGAAGTATGACTCTAATCTTCTTGTGAATCTCTTTCCTGATCTGTCTGTTCAAGAAGGGTGACATTAACATTGCAAGTCTTCCCAGTTTCCCTTTTCTCCCTCTTATATCCAGGGAGCCAGCAGGAGAGGACCAGGTAGAAATAGTCTAGGTCTCTTCGTAACACTCTTCTGGCTCTCTGGATTTAACATGTTTCTTTTGTCCCTAGTGTTTACCTAATAGTATCTTCTTCCAGGTCATCTCTCTGGACCTCTACATACATGCTTTAATTTTCATTTATAGTTTGTCTTTGTTAGTTTTAAACATGAGACAAAAATAGTTCAAACTAATTCAATGATCAATCTGTTACATACCTGCGGGGTGCATTTGCATTTTTCTTGCTACCATAGCTTTGGCTTCACTTTCCAACAGCATGGCAAGAGTGATAATATTTTTAGGATTTATAGAGGGTGCATATGTCATAAGCATTAACGACTTAAGGTTAGTAAAGGTTTTTCCCATCACAATAATTTTGACATTGTTTTTGGCATTCTGCTCTATCAAAGGGCCATATGTTTTACATTGATCAGTCACTTGGTGGATACAGTGTTCGAGTGTTGGGATTGTTTCCTGTAGGATGTCATCAAACAAAATGATGATATCAGCATCAAGGAAAATCTCCTCCAGTTCAGTATGTAAAGTGACACTACGAAGGACTGGGGATGCTAAATCTTGAGTCTCCATAACAATACCCCAAAGAATGTCTTTGAAAATACTTCTGTCAAACAAATGAAGGCTTATCTCAGTTTCCATTCCAAATATTTCTCCATTAGTTAATAACGGGATCAGATGATAACAAGCAGGACTGCATGCTCTGATTAAGAAAAAAGCAATAAGGGAAACCATTAATTCTGAAGCATTTGGTATCCACAGAATTTATTTTTCAGTTCACTGTGGGCAGATTGGTAGTAGTGGTGAAATTTTGCAAAGCAAGTGGCAAGAAAGGGAGACTAAAGCCTCCTTAATCAATCAAATCCCTCACAATATGTATGTATGTATGTATGTATATCTGTATATGTATATATTGAAAGGTTAACTGCATATTACATAGCAAATACTTCATGTGCTGCTGCTCTTCTGGTTTAGTCCAGGTGAACTAATTCTGAGAAAAACAACTGCACTGGCAGACCCTTTCCTCCCAACTGATATGTAAAGTACTTTCCTCTTTTAAAGAGAAATTTTGAAAGATAACTGGGGAGATGTTTATCCTATCTTTCAAATAAAACCAAGCTTTCATGTAGTTTTCTTGGTAACAATATGGAAATGGCTTGCATTGCCTTCTTCCAGCAATTTTTTTGAATTTGCCATTCTAACCCATAGCCTAGAATCTAGATTTACTGGTGATTTTCCATCCCAATGCCAACCAAGGTTAGCTTTTTGATAGTAACCAAATTCAGTTATATGATCTGAGAAAAATTAACCCCTCCACCAAACATTTGCACCTATCGGTTTAGCATAGTTGAACATATATTTGCCTTAGGAGAGTATATACAAACATGTAAGAAACATAATGATAAATATCTGGGAATTTCCCCATTTTCTTCAATCCCCCCCCCCCAAAAAAAAGATGGAACAAAAGAAAACCAATTCAATGGCAATAACATATCCTGGAATCAGCAAAAATTTAGAGATTCCTATTTTGAGCCAACTAAGCAGCATGGTCAGATACATGGCAAGGACCATTCTGCTGCTTTCCCATTATAGTGGCAATCTGCAGTTGGACACTAAAGTGGAATTATCCAAATTCTTGAATGCCATTTGGCAATCTTAGAATCACAACAAAAGAATGCTCACACTGGTATACGTGATTCCAGTTCAGCAAATATGAACTGTTATATTAATAAGAAAAAATGGAGACTTCCGGTTTGACGTCGCAGCGAGACAGTCGGGGAAATAGTGGGCTCTGATGAGCCGCACGAAAACCCCGGCTGCCGAACCGCCGCTGATGGGTCTTCGGACTGGAACCGTCCTGCAGGGACGAGGATGGAAGAGAGGCGCCTCGAACGACCAGAGAAACGGGCAAGTTCCTCGGAGATCGGAGGGAGCTCTCTGTGAGTCAGCGGTGGGGGGCGGCAGCCATGGCGGCTGCCACAAAGCTGGGACAAACCGGGCAAGGGATGTGCAGGAGGAAAGCTGAAAAGAGCAATGCCTTTTGAAGCCTGATGAGTGTCAACCAACCCAGGCTTGAAACAACGTTTGGAGTAATGGCTTTTTATTTTGTAAGATCCCTAGCTTTAAATCAGCAGCTGTGGAGCTAAGGGGCATAGAAGATTTTAAGAGGAAATTTTTAAAAGAAAAGGAAAAGACCCAATTGAAAATTGATACCTGAATAGACTAAACTTGAAAAATAAATATTGAGACTTGGTTCAAAATTGAACAACTTTAAATTTGAATTAGACTTTTAAAGACAAAAAGATAAAGAAGAATTACTACTTTTAAACATAGAAGGAGAGAATTGGGCTGGAATGTTATATAATTGAAACAAAATGGTGATTTGCATGACTAAAGGAAATTGTGGATTGTAGAAGGACACCTTCTGGTCTAAAAAGAAACATTGTTAACTGACTTTTTGTTTGGGAACATTGTGAATACTTCAGATAACAACCGTGGGATTTAGGAGATGGAGCTGTTTCTTCTTTGTCTGCAGACGATTTGATTTTGTTGAAAAAAAGAGAAAGTATGATGGAACTCTTATAATTGGACTAATTGGCGCAGGAACAAAAGAAGCTAAATGGTGCAAGAACAAAAGAAGAAAATTGATGTGATTTGTTTGAAATAGAAGTAAGAAAAAGAACTAAACTGATATATGGAGAAGCAAACTGTGAACATTGAAATTGAAATGGAATTTATGTTACAGACAAGGAAAGGAGGAATGATATATACATGGCTGGAAAAAAGAAGATAGAAACAATGTGATTAAAAATAAAGCAATGTATAGATGGGACAGTAATAATAAAAAGGAGGTTTTTATAGATTAATAAAAATGAATATGAATATGAGAAGAATATGATATAATATGTAAAAAGCTGAAATAAAGAAAAAAGTAAGAATATGTGAGGAATAGAATATATTAACAGAAACTTACTAATTTATATAAGGAAGTGTTTGGAGTAAGAACTAAGCCTCAATGTTAAATTGTTATAAAGATGATAATAATAATGTGACTGAATATTAACAAGTAATGTATTGATGGATGGTAAAATTTAAAAAAAGGGGTGATTATGCTGGGATAAGCAGCAAACTAAGGTGATTATGCAAAACTTAAGAGAATTGTACTGGATATAACAGTAAAATATTAAGAAAATTATGCTGGGTTTGACAGCAAAACAAGATGATTATACTGGGAATAACAGTAAAGATAAAAACAATTATGCTGGGATTGACAGCAAAAATGATGATTATACTAGGAATAACAGTAAAACCTAAGAAGACTATGCTGTGATTAACAGCCAAAAGAGGATGATTAAGAGGAAGATTATATACTGGGATAAACTTTTAGAAATAAAGATGACAATGCTGGAATTGATACTAATAATGAAATGATTATGTTGTGATTAAAAGGGTTAAGCTGAGATAAATAATAAAATGAAGATGATAAATGCTAACAGTTAAAATATTGTGTAAATATTTTGTTGAATGTCTTTAAGATATATCCATCCATGTTAAAAGGAAAAGAAATTGAAATGATATTGAATTAAGGATTTTAAGATTAGTGTAATGGGTTTTAAGAATTTTTTCTTTTTTTAGATAGAATTTAGGGCAATAATGTTAGAGAAAATTAAGTTGTGCTATTTGGAAATTAAGATTTGTGGTGAAATAATAGAAGGTAATTGATTTGTGTATAAAAAATATATGTTAGGAAGAATTTTTTCTTTTTTTTTAATGGTAATTAGTGGGGATTTGGGAAAAGCTTTTGTTAAAGAGGAATTAGTAATTGTACCTATTCATGACCAGATCAGTGGCTCGTTCTGAAAAGATTTTTGTATGTTTATGTGTTTTAAAAAAAATAAAAAAAATTTGTTCAAAAAAAAAAGAAAAAGAAAAATGAATTAAAATTGTTCAGACTCTGTCGTTTCTTTTTCACCTTCTCACCTATTAAGCCAAATGTGCAAGGGATTGATAAGACTTTTTAGTTCTTTCTCTTCTGCTTCAATTTCTATGCAAGTCTGCAAGTTCTCATTAGCTATTAGTAACATCTCTTCAGTCATCATATCTGATGTGATGTTATAGTATTGCTGAAGATCAAAAAGGTTCATCAATAAATATCAAGTTATCTCAAATTCTGAAGACCAAAACACATTTGATTACAAAAATATAGAAATAGTAATAATGACAATTTGGAGAGCCATTTAAATTTATGACATTAGGTGTCTAAGAACAACAGTATATATGTAAATAGTAAGATAACATAACATGGGAAGCAGATTTTATTTTTGTCAGATTCTTATTTCTAATACAGAGTCAAGAGCAAAGACATATTCTTGGAGTTTAACAATATGGTGCCTCTGGATATTTCTTGATCAATGGATTTGTTTAAATCCAGATTTGAACTTACTTCAGAGTTCCCACAAAAAATCTAGTGACTCCATGGACATGCATACAGTTTTACCAGGGGAAGTGCAGAAGTGTTTTATTTTCTTCCCAATTTAATCTATAGCTCTGGGATTTTCTGATGGTTTTCCTTTCAAGTCCTAATTCTGCATAGCTTTTCAAGATTGGTCAATTGGTTAGCTGCTACCACCATACTGGCAGTTTACTTCCTCAAAATCCAGCCATCATTGTACTTAGTTTTCTTCATTGCAACATCTTTACATTCTGTTATTGCTATTTTTAAGTAACTGGGAAACAAAAACTCTACTACATATCACCCATTAGTCTAGATCAGGGTTCCATCAATTATCTTGATGAATGACAAGATTCTTTAGAATTGTTTTATCTAGTGAATAAAGTTCTACAATTATATACTTGTTACAAATATTTTGCTGATTAATTCATTAATTTTTCAAATAACTTCCTGTTTACTGCCCTTTTCCATTTACTTTAACAAACTGTTTTATCCCTTTATATCAGGGGTGTCAAACTCAAGGCCCATGGGCTGGGTGCAGCCCATGGGTTGCTTAGATCTGGCCCACGCATGGCCCACCCAAGCTTTGTTTTAGCTGGCAGAGGCTGCAGGAAGCTGTCGTAGCCAAAAACAGAGCCCGGGAGGGCCACACATGCCCCACCCGAGCTCCGTTTTCACTGGCAGAGTGCTAGCAAAACAAACAACTAGCAAAAGTGGCATTTGATCACACGAGTGACGTTGAGCTGGCCATGCCCACCCTGACCATGTCCCCTCCTCTCCACCCAGAGGTCAAACACAACCCTGATGTGTCCCTCAATAAAATCGAGATTGACACCTCTGCTTTATATTATCTGTTTCAAATGTCCTTCAATGAGATTCAGATATTTTACAGATATATTTAAATTTCCATTCACTAATTCCCTAACAGTTTTAATTAAGCTGACTGAAGCATTGTGTGGTTAAACATAACTGTATACTGAAATTTAGTCAGTCTGAAAATAAAAACAGATTGATGAGTAAGAAAAAGAAGTTAGCAGAAAAATCAATATGCAACTAGTCTATATGCAAACTTTTACCTGAGCATGTTCTAGAAATTCATTGAATCCTCCTAGAAGAAGGCCCTTTCCACCACGGTCCAACAGTTCTCTCCAAATAATTGGGGAACGTTTGTGTTTCCAGCCATTCTCATTACAGATCTCCTGAAGCCACTTCTAAAGATAAATGCTTTCAAATTAGCATTGCATATTAGCATGCAATGCTAATATGCACACATCCATAAATGGCTTTAACTGCCTTGTTGAAACAATCATCCTTACATTTCCTACAATTATCCAAACATTCTCCCTTCATATAGTACAAGAGGCTAGTGTTAAGAATATATTTCTGAATAGGATCTATGAATGTGGATACTAGTAAACTCATCGGGATAGAAGAAAGCTCACATACTAGCAAAGCAACTTGCCTACTTCATAACATTTGGCACCCATGTCCCAAAGGTACTTTTTCAAGAGGCAACTGGACATTCCGGTTTTTCTTTGAAGTAATTTCATTTCTCATCCAAGAAGCTACTTCAGCTCTGACAAGATGGTGGGAAATGGAAGGATTTATATTCCATTCCCCACCATCCTGTCAGAACTGAAGAAGCTTCTTGGATGAGAAGCGAAATGTCTTCAAAGAAAAACCAGAGTCCAATTGCCTCTTGAAAAAACACCTTTAAGACAACCATAACCTGGATGACTGAGAATCTCCATAGACATTTGGCACCTATATTTGAGCGCCCAGAGTCAGCTCAGTCTGCAGATGAAATACAATCACCATTTTTGATTTACATAGTTATGAAGTGGGAAGAGACATTTTCATCATTTGGTCCAATTCCCTGCTCACTAAAGAATCCACATTATTCCTTGGGGGGGAAACCCTACACATCTTTGCTGAAAATACTTTCAGTGAAAGACACCACAGCCTAAGATATTCTGTTTTCCTGCCATTTCTACCAACTAATTTTACCTAAGCACTCTGGAGTTAAGGAAGAATTACATTTTATTCAAGAAATTATTTTCCCTTAAACTTCCCTTTTTAGGCATACACATACACATATTAATGTGGTTATATTAGGCAATGCTAATATAACCACATTAATAGAACTGGAACCATACAAAATAAAGGAAAACAGAATCTGGTTAAATACTGTATATGTGAGTTAAATACTGTATATGTGAACTCAAGTATCTTAATCAATAATTGTTCACTTTCAGTATTTTAGCAGAAAAACACAAAATATATTCTATGATAACCTATTAATACCTCAGTTAACTGCTTTAATTGACATCCAATTATAAATAGGTTCTAGACAAATGTAGCAACATCCACTAGTGGACAATATTTTCACTTCATTTCGCCACAAATTTGTGGAGGTTTTTTTAATCTCTGACTTGTTATCTAAATTATGCTATTCTTTCTAAAGAAACAAAAATCTAATTTGTCTGTTTAAACTGAAGCAAAATAGATGAAGCTTTTGTGTATCATCGTCACTTTTATCCATCAATAAATATTAAAGCCATAAAAAACTATTGTAGATTTCCCAAACTTTATGCCCCTAAACCATCATACATTTGATGTTACAAATAACCAAACTCAAAGGTTAGCAGAGTTCATTAGCTTTCTTTATCAGTTTCCATATAACTATCTTTATGCACTGTATATTTATCCCATCCCTCTCTTTTGCTACCTTTTGGTTAATGGGTTCCAAAAGTAGAGAATCTCATTAGCAAACCAGACTGAAATAATGTTACCTCCCAGTTGTCAGGATGTTGAACTATCTTGTGTATCCTGAAGTTAGGCAAATTTTTCAGCAGATAGTCAGCTAGGAGTTCTGCTTTAGCATAGTAGGGGCAATCTGCTCTACCTGGAAATTAAGTAGTTAATAAAAATTGTACATAATTATAAACATGTGATTTCTTTATTGGATTTACTGTATATCCCAGCTTTCATTCAAGAGCCCAAAACAGTATGTAGAATGGCACTTCTTCCTATTTTCCCCCATAGTAACCATCCAGTGGGGAAGGTTGGGCTAAAAGAGAAGGACTGATCCAAAGCCATGAGAAACTTCTATGGCTGAGGGTGGATTAGAACTTGGGTCCTCCACATCCTAATCCAAACTTTGACCAATGCAGAGCCATGGTAATGTTGAAGTAATTTGATATTAAAAATTAAAAAACACCAGAGTGTTATGATGATCAAACTACACCAACAACACATCATTTCGAGACACAATATTCATATTCAACTTTGGTAGATTTTATTGAAATAATTTATAAAATAGTACTTAGACAATTCATGGAATTTGTTTTAGTTTGATTTTGCAGCCCTTGGTTGATAGAAGACACTGAAAACAAACCAAAAAACAGGTTAAAGTTAGTTTATATAATTGCTCCTGCTGTATTTAAGCAGCAAAAAATTCAGAAGACTGGAAACAAAGATTTAAAAGTTTATGTCTCTCTTTGCTACTATCTAGCAGCTGAATGGATTGTGGTGCCCAGATATAGCAGGCCTAATATTGTACAATGTTTCTGACAAAGAAGATACGTCTAGATCCATAATGTTAAATCGTGATTTGTTTAATTAAGATTTACTGAATAATCCACATCAGGCTGAATTCATACAATGTTAAATCATTACAATGGCTGGTTCATACAACCCGGAAAGCTACAACCAAACAACCCAAATTAGATTTTAAGCCTGAACCCCTAAATTTGGTTTGCTTAAATTATTTTGTCTTGGTAAATTACTTTATCTTAGGTAGGACCCCAATCAATTGCTGTTGCTTTGCACTATCTATTTATGGGTTTGGGTTTTTCCCTTGCAATTTGACAAATCTCTTGGAGGCTTACAAATATAATGAAAAATAAAAATAAGAAAGAGCCAGTTTGGCGTAGTGATTAAGGCATTAATCTAGAAATCAGGAGACAGTGAGTTCTAGTCCCACTTTAGGCAGAAACCAAACTGGGTGACTTTGGGCCAGTCACTCTCTCTCAGCCCTAGAAAGGAGGCAATGGCAAACAGATCTTGCCAAGAAAGCTACAGGGACTAGGCAGTCTCTGAGAGTCGAACACGACTGAATGGAAGGGGAAAAAATACTTTGTCCTAGATAAGAACTACTCGATTATTCTCGCCTTGCACCGTCTGTGTTACAGATACTTATTTATAGTATCCGCAAGCCGCCCCCATCTGTCTGGGCGATCTACAAAGAAACATGAAACCAACAGGAATTCAAGGCGAAAAAGGCGACGCCAGTTTAGTCCAAAAGTATTCAATCATCCCCAACCAACGGGGGTGAGTAAGAGTCGCCTTGGAGAGGGTTTCCCCTTCACCTGCCAGCACGAACTTCGCCATTGACCAAGAGCCGCGGCCAGAAACCCGTTAATCTGAGGCCCTGCGGAGGGTCGCCTAGCAACTAGGCGCGCACAGTCCGACAGGAGGCGAAATAGTGAGGCCTCGGCGACTGACTTATTTTGTCCGCTTCAGGCAACTGTATCTCGAGGAAGGAATCCTCGCGTCGCGTATGAATTTGCGTCACCCGGCGTCTTGGTTTTGAGCGTCTCGCGCGGGGAGGCAAGTAAGTGGAATGGAGCTCTGGACACATCTGGCAGGGTGGAGATCAAACAACAAGGAACCAGCGGGAAAACAAAGAGCAAGGAGGAGCAAGGGATTTGGGAACAAGGAGGGCGGCGGCGGCGGCGAGGGCGTGGCAAAGGCGCCTTGTCCTTTTCTCTGTCCTTCGTGCAAATTCTCAGCCCTGGAAACGTTGCTTTGACAGAGGTTTCGATATATTTGAAAGAGACAGACTGCTGAGAATTCAGTAAGGAGAGAGTGACGTTGCTTCTATTGGCCCCTTATAGTTTATATTCCTCGATCTTTATAGCCTTATCTTCTGGCTATGAACTCTGAAGCTTCGTCTTGTAGACAATTTTGTTCTGCCTTTCTTCCTTCATTATTGGTTCATGCCTTGGGAAGCTCCCAGTTTTCGGAGAATCGAACACGTTTACTTGCTACTGTAATTCTTGCAATTCGGGCCTGTAAATGTACAAAATTGGAGGAGTGAATTAAAACGTGATTAAAAAAAAGACTAGTAACCTTTATTTTAAAATTAACTTATGAGATCTAGTAGATTTAAAAAAAAACATTTAACGGAGCAAGAAAACCTTTATGTCTACTGAAGTTTATTCAAGAAATTTCCCCACTGAGACAAAACTGAACACTTAGAGGCCAATTTAATTTAATATTTTGGATAGCTTTCAGTATTTGCAGTCATATTTACTTAGATGAAAGTGCAAATTCTGAAAGCTAACCTAAATACTGTACTGAATTTAAGTGTTCATAGTTTTGTCTCATTTGGGAAATTTTGGCCTAAATTGGCTCAGTCTTGCAGTACTCAGCCCTCTCATTATTATTTTAGATTTACTAAGGTTAGCATTTCATAGCACTTGGAAAACAGATGACTGTACTAATTGAAGCAAAAAAAACCCCACCTTAAACTGATTGCAATTGATTTAATGTACTGTACTGGTTAATTAATTCACTTGATGTTATGTTAACAGCTTTGTTCTGATTTTCTTCTTTAGGTTCAAATAAGTTTTTCCAAGCAAGATATTGTAAAGAAACTGCAAGATGAACAGCAAACTGGAATATTTTATAAGGTCAATAAGAAGGCTACAGGCATGTTACAATGCAGGGAGATCTTTTCCTAGAAAAGAAATCAAAACAACTGCATTTGGGATTAATGGTTATAAAAATTCTGCACAAAGTATTCAATGTTCATTGTATGTCCCTTCTTGCTGGTTTCATTCTTCAATTTCAACTAGTTCTCAAAATACTTTTGTTTATGTTGGGAGCAGTGATGCAAATGAGCAGAAAATAACCAATGATCTTGACCATGAGCAGAACTTCAAACCTGTTCAGTTGAACTCCTCAGAGGAAGTTAGAAATACCAGTAAAGAAAGCGATGAATTTGACATTTCCCAGAAATTTTTTAGTGACCTTCAAAAATGTGTATCTCCTTGTGATGTACTAGACTGTGCTGCAAAAAGTGAAGTCTCTTTAAAGTATGTCAGTAACTGTTTTTCGACTATGTGGATGCTTAAAAAAAAAACACTTAAGAGTCAGAAATATGATGAGACAAAGATGATGCTTGAACACCCTCAGTTTCGACAGCTCTGTCAGCATGTGATGGATGAAGCAAAGTACATGGATAGCAATGATTTGGCACACACTCTACTTTCTGTGGTAAAATTAGGAGTTCCACAAAATACCTTGTTAGTTCAGACATTACTGAGGACTTGCCAGGTAAGCAAAAAAAATCCCCATTCTAGACAAAATTTAAGAATACTTTAAAATAAGGAACAGTTCTGGCTTACTTAAAAAGTTAAATCTATTATTTAATATGTCTCTAGACTTCATATATAATCTTTTGTCTTTAAAAAATAATCTAAGACATTTCAGTTTCATTATCTACGGATTGAAAAAGTTACTATTGATTTACGATTTAGTCTGTACTCCTTTACCTGAAAATGGAACTGAATTTAGGACTTATTTCCAAACTGATATGTGTCACTGGCCAGATACATCACTTAGTCAATCAGAATTGGACCTAGTTTGTACCCAGGAATCTTCCAGAAACTATCAGTCCTGGAATCTAGACTAGAAAGGGTATTTTTTAAAGAATACGTTCCCAGAAAAAGGTTGAATTTTAGGGCAGCCCTAGAAGAAGAAGGCCATGTATGTGGGTAGATAAGAAGATACAAAAGGGTTGAAGGGAGCTTCCTTTTGTTTTGATGTGTTTATGGCAGCTAATAGACAACAAAAATGACAGAACCCTTTTACTTGGACTCTAGCAATCATTTATTGCAGGTGTCCAAGAGACGTTTTTACTGTGGAAGAGCAGCTGATTTGGTTAGCTGGGATATGTAAGCATGGGTGATGATTTAGCATGTTTGAACTATCCTGTAGCACAGTGGTCCCCAACCCCCGGTCCGCGGACCGGTGCCGGGCCGTGGAGTACCTGGCACTGGGCCGCGCAGCGGCCGGGGGACATGAACGCTGCAGCGCAAAGGCTCCTGGGCCGTGCGCAAAAGCTCCTGGGCCGTGCGCAATGGGCCGTGCGCAAAAGCTCCTGGGCCGTGCCCTCACCCCTGCGCGCGCTCAGCGGGCCGCGGCGATAAAAAGGTTGGGGACCACTGCTGTAGCACATGAGTGGGCAATTTGTTAACTGAAATTGAGGATAACATGCCTTCTTTATCCCAGTTTCAAAATGAGCTGTATGCAGGAGATTTGTTTAGACTGGAAAGAGCTCACTGTCCTATTCCTTATTTCTTGTTTGTCTCTGGCCTTACCTACTACTTGTTTCAGCTTGCCTACAATGCAACTCAAAACGGATTATCACCAAGAGAATGGGGACCTTAACAAAATTTGGCTTACCCTATTACAATATATTAAGCACTGGGGTTAAATTTCCTGGACTGGCTATATATTTCTTCTGTATCTGATTCACAAGTGGATGGTTGCTACTTTATAACTCTTATGACTAATACTAATTAGGCCCTTATTTGACTTACTTTCCGGAAACAACATATTTAGGTAAATGTTTACATGTTCTAATTTTTGAGACAAAGAGAAAAGAAAAAAGCTATTGGGCAACCTCATTTTTAAAATAGTCTCATTGACATTAATAGGACTCAAATGAACTATTCAAAGTCATTTAAATTGATCTACAGTGTGATTATAATTCCCTCTTAGGTTCTCAATAATTTAGGTATTGCTTTAAGTGATCCCTGTTATTTGTAGTGAGTAATGGTTTCATTTGGGTTGAAAGAGTCAGAGAAAACAGGAACAGAGTTCCAGAAATGTCCCTCTTATCACTGTCATCAGCAGCGTAGCCAGCTTGGAATGGTTAGCAGCAATCAGCAGCACAGTTGGAATTGCCACTTTTATTAGCTCCATTGACATTATCCCTTTCCCTGTATGGCATTTCTGCAGAGCATCCTGAATGCTGATTGCACTCCCAGCTCTCTGGTTTATAGCTAGAAAAGAAATGGAAATGCCTTTGCGCTACAAGCATACTGCATGGAACCCTATATTGAACAGGGCCGTGCAGTGGAACACGTGTTCTTTTTTAACCTTAGAGAAATTTGAGAGAATCAGAATTTTCACTGTACAATTAATAAAGCACTTATAAATGTGGTACTGTACATTGTGGCTCTTTGCCCATAACCTCGTCCCGCTAGTACAAGCCTATCTTACTTGTGCTACCAAAGAGGGCCTACTTCAGATGCCGTTTGTCGAAAAACTCTGGGATCCAGAAGAAGAGCCTTCTGTGCTGCAGTTCCCCCCGTTTGGAACATATTACCCTCTAAGATCTCCTCCCACCCTCCTATCATTCTGCAGAGAGCCTGAAGACCTGGCGCTGCCAGTTGGCCTGGACACCAAACGGAGGAGTTCCATGTTGGAGGTGGCTGCTGGATAGATGGCAGAATTCACCTCCCCACTTGCTCTCTGCCCTCTGCCCATCCATCTTTCTGTTATACTCTTGATATAGTTTCATGTTCTGTTTCATTTTTTTCAATTTTCTTCCTTTTTATTATTTTAAGCTGCCTAGAGAAGCCCCATGGCAAGATAGGCAGCAAATGAATAAATAAATAAATAGCAGTAGGAATTTGCTTTGTTAATTTTTCCTCTGACCTATAATTTTATCTTTCCATGAAAATCTTCTAAAATAACTTTTGAATTTTTCAATAGGAACGTGTCAATGAATTTAATACTCAATGTATCTCAATTATTGCAAACGCTTTGAAAGTCATGGAAAAATGCAAGAATGTGGAAGCTCTTCAACTTGGACTACAGTAAGAAAAGACTTTAATTAAGTTTGTACATTGGTACTTATCAGTTATTGGGCACACTTGTGGGAGAAGTTTGTTTCTAGTTAAATAGTTGTAGCTTATTCCAGTGTATATCTGAACCCAAACATCTTGAGCTTAGTCTTAATTCCAGTTCAAATTACAGGTTTCTTCAGTAAACTAAAGATTAAAACTAATTATAATTTAGCATTCAGATGAAATACTCATTAGATTTTCATTGGAACTGGGAACTTTTTTCTCCTTGTGATAGTGCAAGAAGAAAGGGAATTGGTGGTAGAGTTGGATATGAGGTTGAATTTAGTGATGCGTCCAAAATGTGGCCATAATTAAAAGAAATGAGAGTTTAGAACTGTAAATTTAAATTGATTAAATATTCAATAGGATACTTGAAAATTAAAGAGGTTGAATATGAATTGAAACTTTGTATAAAATTGCTTCAGAATGTAAAATGGAATATATAGAAATTGTATACACTTATTTAAAACAAGCCAAATTGAGCTCATGGAGAATTACTGACAAATATACTTAAGATCAATTTTTATTTTCCTGGACCAGATTCAGACTAAGATATACCATAAATGAAATATTTAACAGGATACTTTTCAGTTTATCTTATGTTAACCTCTGGTGTAGTTCCTGGGAAACTTTGGTGTCCATATCCAGGCTGTCCACTTATATTTGTTTCTGGATATTTGTTTATCCCACTTTAATTTTTTTTCAATAATAAAGGCATCTTACACCATTAGAGAACATATCTATATTTGTCCATCTGTCAATCATCTATTGCGTACAACTAAAATCAGAATTGAAAATGAATAAGTAAAAGTTCGGTGGAAAAGCTGTATTTTTAATTTTCCTAAGTATTGGCTGAGTGGAGGCCAAATACATCTCCTTAGGGTGCCCATTCCAGAGCCTGGGGCCCATGCAAAATAAGGCCTTTCTGACCTACTAGATAATCAAATTCTATTAAAACATGATCTGAGGGATTTTTTTTCTACTGGTCAAAGAAGATAGGTTCATAGTGGGACGTGTAGTTCCCACTATAGACTGGCACTAACTAAAGTGTTAAGGACTTTGAAGGTCAATACCAAACAACTTGAATTAAATCAGAAAACCAACTGTTAGCCAGTGCAGTTCTATCAGTATAGAATTTATGGATTATTTGATCCATACAACAGGTAGCATCCTGGCCCCTGCATTTTGCATCAGTTGCAGATTCTGGCAATTTTTGAGAGTAACCCCATGTACACCGGTTTGCAGTATAAGTAGTCCTTAATTTATGACCACAATTGGGCTGGAATTGTTGAGCAAAGCGGTCGTTAATTAAGATGTCCATGTGATCATTTCGCTCAACAACTGTAAACCTGAAACTCCCAGTTGTGGTTCTTAAGCGATCACAGGGCTCATTAGGTGGACAGAGTCTCAGATGAGTGCAGGATGCCTCGGGGTTAGGAGGACGACCCTGGGAGACTATGTAGGAGCTGAAAATTCTCTCTGGCAAAATCCAAGCAGAATTTTCAGCTCCTGAGTGGAGAGACAGTCACACACAAACTGCATTGGGCCTCTCCAACCTCCCTTGAAGCACCTCACACTTCTTTCCTTACCACCCTATCTCTCCACTCAGGAGTTGAAAATCCTGTGACAGGGAAGGCAGCTTCCTTGGTCCCACAGGATGACATTTTTAATGGAGTGCATCACTGGCTGAACACATTGGAGAAAGGAAAAAGATGGGACTGGAACTGAGTTAAGGCTTGCTGTTGGAGAGTCCTCCTCGATCTCCAGTTGTCACAAGAGTTTAGAAGGGCCAGCTGTAGTGAGAAGTACATCAAATGTAACTCTGCTGAGCCAGCTGGACTTAGCAACTGTTATCTAGTTCTTAAATTACCTTTTGTTTAACAATTTTTGGAATCGGAAAAAGATGGAGTCGACCTTATATCTGGAAGTACACTACTTCAGATGTGGGTGACTGCTACAGTGAAGATTTGTGGCTGGTGAATCTTATAATGTATTTCTTTCCTTCTGGATCTTAACAAGGGAGGCAGAATCTTCTCAGAAAATCACCTTGCCCAGGAATGAAATATGTGAGACCAAAGCAATATAAGGTTGTCTCAGATTATTGAAGACTCAGCATTTATTTCAGGACGATACCTGCTCCATTAGTTTATGTCCATTACATATTCTTTTTCAGAGGATTTCTTTCTTAATAGGTTACTTTTACAAGACAAAGTCCACAAAATATCAAACGTGTTTGTATTGCAAACCATTATGCGCAGTATCGGGAAAGATGTACCACTGACACTTAAGAAAAAATTGGAGGTAAAAAATTGATACTGTTCTTTCATCTATGTTTTCAATTGTTGCATTAAGTTTGTATGAATATACTGTACATGCAGGTATCATCGCTTTTGTCATCACAGAAGAAAAGGTCATTTATTTTAAGAGCTATGAATGTCAAGAATCATGAAATTTAGTGAAGAACCTGATTAACTACCTATCTTTGATTATTTCTGCCTTTCCAGAAAAATCAGGTATGCAAGAGGCATTCCAGGTTTCGAGGTAGTGCTTTATCAAGAAGTCTGTCTTTGTCATAGCACCCGATCTCTAGAACAGCATTCCCACCCCCCAAAATATGTAGTGGCTCCCACACAGATAATTTTCCAGAAGTCTTTTAACATATAGCTATTCTCACAGGCCTTAGAACAGGGTGTTTGTTGAATCCTACAGTTTTATTGTTTTACTTAATATTTATGGTTTTTCTTTTGGGTGACCATGATCTGTTTTTCTATTTTATTTCTTGCTTTTTTATGTAAGCTGCCCAGACTGGGTTTGGAGTAGGTTGGACTCATATAGATAAATAAATAAATATTACGTATTAATTCTTACAGTTGTAGTACAACAGAAGTGATTTCATTATTTCTGTGTTCCTTTTTTATTAGAACTTTGATAGAAGAAACATATTTTCATTTATTTGATTTATATGGCTATCCATCTAATCACAGCAATTCCAGATGGCTAACCATATATAAAAACATAATACAAATAAACATCAAAATAACAGCATAAGTAAGTTTAAAGATAGCCAGACTAAAACAACATAATTATGAAATCACCATAACTATATAGAAAGTGAGAAATTAAAAATAGATATTCAGGTGTAAAATGGCATTTTAAACAACAAAAATGAAGTTGCTCTGATTACTTTTTCAAAACTTGAAATCTTCAAAGCAAAAGTAGGAGAAAAATATTTGTTAACTCTGTGATAACAAACAATAATTTTATAATCCTTGTCTTGTACGCCAATGATACTTCTGGCTAATTTGAAATTTATTTCAATTTAGAACAAGATGTTGAATCTGATGAGTCACTTTACAGTTCCAAATGCTTTTCAAATGTTCAGAGTATTGGGTGAAATGGACTATCTCTCTGTTCCAATCCTGAATGCTTGTAGTAAGACAGTAATAGGTAAGTCATGACAAATGTATAAGATTGCTAATGTTCAAAACAGTTTATTTGATTATAATGTTCTAGAATCCAATTTCTTTTAATTTGCCATAAGAGTTTACAGATAAGTATTTGCTTATGAAGAGCAGAACAAGAAAATAGGGAGTATATGTGGGTTATGGTGGAACTGTTGAGTTCTTGGGGTTCTCTGAGCTTGATTGTTTTTCTGCAGATATTTGCAGCATCCTGTGGCGAAGTGCAATTTGTAAAAAATTTTTTCCAGGAATAGGCATTTATTTCTGGTTTCTGGCAAAAAAGATCCATTGCAGACAATGGGTTCACTTAACAACCATGGTGTTCGCTTAATGACCCATCTTAATGACAATTACAACCATAATTTTGGGCTCAATTATGGTTGAAGACCACTTATATCTGGATATTTCAGCCTTGGCTTATAGTTTATAAAATTAGACTTGTGCATTTATAGTGAAAGTTATACATAAATATTTAAGAGAATTGGCTCAAAAAGATAATTCTTAGGCTACTTTAAAGCAGCATAAGGGATGTTTTGATTTTATTTAACAATACATAGTGGACATAGATATGAAAAAAGTTGGATGTCATGTTAATAAATTCTTCAAAAGAGAGAACCTCCACTTGACCAAATCATGTTCCTTGAACGGTTCTTTAGTTTTGCCAATTATGCTGTATTTTCTGCTTCAGGATTTATCATGTTATTTCTTTTTAGAAACTCAAAGCACAAATGTTTTTTTACAAATGTTATCAACCAAGTGAATTTCCAATGTTAGTTTTCTTTGTATGCATTAGAAAACATTGAAGGAACTCAATTTTTGAACCTGCTGAATGTTTTGAAAACTGGCAAACAATTGAGATATCAAAATAGGATACTTTATTCTGCATTAGCTGATTATGCCGCATCAGTCTTCTATACATGGAACAGAAATGAGGTAAATATATAGGATGTCACTATTCATATTACTGGCATTCTCAGTAGTAAATGAATGGTAGCATGGGATGCTAATATTGTTTTTAATTTTATTTTAGATTCATGATATTATTTAGGATAAGTCCCTGTAACTGCATAGGAATGGGGAGAGGTGTTGCAATATGGACAATATACTTAATCTATTTGTCTCTGTAATTTCACAGATTATGCTGGACTATGAATAATGTGAATAAAAGGTTTTTGTTTCCTCTACTTGATAAATGATACTAAGCTATAAGAAGTTTAGAAATGTAGAGATTGGTTTGTTTGAAGAAGTTATCAGGAAAGTGAAAATAGATAGGAAAGATGTAAATAAAAATTTAAGTATCATAGGATTTCTTAACAGGATGACTGGATTTAAATATGTTCAGTGCAATATGATGTTTTTGTGGTCTAGTTATTGGGGACAAATTTAATTCTTACATGTGTTTAGAGATTCAGTGGTACTTTGCCATCCAATCTAAAAAGGTTTCCAATGCAGCTCATGATTATAAAATATAGTGGCAATGTAATAATAAAGCCATACAAAATGTCATCCCTCCACTAGTGATAAAACCAGAAAAATATAATCAAATAGAAATAGATACATCAGTTACACAGTTAAATAGATACATCAGATATATCAGTTAAATACATGGTTTGTTGAAATAATATTTATTAAGTGCTTAGTAGAAAGGAAATTTAGACTGTTTAATCTATTACTCCCCAAAACTATTTTCTCCCATGGTACAACTGAGCTTCCTGTGAGGCTGGAAGTCAGTTGAAAAAGAAAAAGAAAAAAAAAAGGTGGGGGGAGATACTGGATTGGTACTGTATGTTCTGAACAGCAAAGTATAGACACTATTCTTTCACATTCTCTAGGGGTATTTTTCCCAGCCATTTTGCTTTAAGTTGGAATTCAATTTAAAGTAATAATTATAAGTAATAATGGTTACGCTGATGCATATCATAACTTCTTTCTGTATTATGAAAAATTACAATTTGGAAAGGCTTTAAGAAGTTAACAGTTGGGCTTTGGAGAATGCAACCAGGTTATGCAACTTTGGTTTTAAATTATTATAGCAGATTAGTTTCATATTATTTCACAAAGGACAGAGGGAGAGAAATTTGCCCGAGAAGCTTAGAATAGAAAAAGGATTGTAAACAGGGATGCAGGAAAGCAAAAAGGAATTTGCTTCTCTCTTCAGTGGTATATTCTCAGGCCCAACAACATTTTTGACTATTTTTTAAAAAAAATCCTCTTAATAAAGTTATCTCAATATATGTGAGTTACTTTAACTTCTCCTTTTGATTTCAGGTAATTCTGTTACTTTCAGCTTTTGAAAATCTTAGTGTTCACCCAGTCCAACTGATGGATAAATTTCTTGAGGAAGTGATGCTTCACCCGGAATCCTTGAACCTGAAAGATGTTATAATTATTCTGCGAGCCTACTCTAATCTCAATCACCTCTCCAGCGGCCAAAGCCAAGAGTAAGTTATTCTTTAGTAAATACTCATTTCAAAAATAATTTCTGAAACACTTCTGGTCATTTGTGAATAATCTCAAATTTGTCACCAAATTAATATATAGAATTATTTGATGGTGTGAGTATTATAACATGTATTCTCAAATTTTGTATTATTGCAATCCAATAAAGGAAGTATATGAGGACACATTACACACACACACCAGGTAAAACAAAAAGCAAAACATTTTAATTTTAATTTTCTTTTTATTTGATTTTAACAAATATTTGAAAGGGGAACCAAGACAAAGGAGAAAAAAAGAAGTGAAAGGACAGAAGAGAAAATAGAAAACAGATTTACAGGCCATATAAAATTGAATAATTTTCATAATAACATTAGATTTGTGATGCATATAAATGTGACCTTTCTTCCTTCCCTCCCTCCTCTCATTCATCAAAATCAAGAGAAAAGAGGGGAAAGGGCTCTTTCCTTGCCTGGGTTGCTCTAAGTACCCAAGTACTGTTGTTAAACTGCTGCTGCTTACAGGGCATTGGCAGACTAAAGGCTGGAGCAAACTTCTCTAGCACTGCCCGTGAGGGAACATATGCATCTGTTGTTTAGGGATAGTTGCATAGGCATTCTTTTTATATGTCAGCGAACGTTAACGTTTCCTGCTTGAACGTACCTTGCCTTCTTCCTCCTCCCAGCTGGAAGTAGGAACCAAGCAACATTCAGTGTGCACATCTCTGCACAATGTGCAATTGGGATTTGGGATGTGTTTGCGTCAGCCTACCTGCAGCCCTTTGCAACCTCCGCTTACCCATCAAACCCTTTGCAGTGTAGGTATGCAGTGATGGCTACAGGTAATTGCGGGCAGCTATAAATCAGTCTTAAGTGGCTTTTGGCCCTCTCTCTCACAGAGTCTCCATAACCCTGGCTTTCTTTTAGTACCAGCCTTGGGCTTGAGTAGCCTGTAAATTCCTTCCCCTCTGTAGATATTCTTTCTGTAGTGTAAGTGTTGGGTCAAGTAGTCTGTGCCCTTAAGGCATCATCATTCCGTCTTTGAAAATTAAATGTGTCTTTTTAAAAAGGGTTGCCATCACTCAGGCTTCATTCATCTTGCTCGAATATGCCAGGTTGGTTGGTTTACATTCACCACACATTTGCATCAGTGCATCAATGTGATAAAGGTCCTATAAAAATCATGGGCAATACTGATGCTATTATAGTTTGCTTAATGACTGATTACCAGGATAAAAACAGATCAAGTGCATTCCCTTTTTAATATTAATATTTAGATATAATGATTACGGTATTTAAAAAGCTACTATAATACAAGTATTCTTAATTTGAAAGGTAATTACAAACACATAATTCGTTCTAGAAGAGATGCTAACACTAAACAAATCAAATCTGAACATGATGGAAGAGCTATGTGTTTTGTTTTTGATTGTGGAAGGAAGTTCCTATTGCAAAATAGCGATATGTAGAAATTTTCCTAATTTATCTCATGAATATTCAGCTGTGAATTGATATATAAGCCTCAAGTATTTATAGATTTATTTAACCTATTAGGAATTTATATATTTGTTTACCTCCATTTTTTAAAAGGTTTCTTGACTCTCTGAATAGTATACTGAATAAACATCTACATGAGATTGATAATATGGATTTACTAAGAGTTGTATATTCATTCTGTCTTGCTGGATATCTTCCCCAACTTGCTCTTAATCAACTGCTTCAAGAGGAAATTCTCAGTGATCTAATAAAATCAGGTTAGAGATCAATTTTATTTTATTTTTATTTTCTTTCTTTAATCTGTGTTGCTCATATCTATGTAATTTTCTGTGTAGACAAATTAACATATATATTTGTTGCATAATAAAAGGTGAACAAAATACCCACTTTCAGTTTTATACTATTATCCATATTTCTTTCAAAATGATCAGCTTAATATTGCATTGTTCATTAGTATCCTAAAATCTGTATCATGGTGATGTCTTTACTGGAATTGCTTAAAGACCACAAAAGTTCATTGGGTTAAGCAATGAACCTAGCAAGGAAGTGTAGCATGACAGAGAATCAGGTATGGCCTTGAGGAACAGGGCAGGAGTGCACCCTAGTGGGAGAAAACTGAAGTCATTGGCTGGAGGCTTCCTTGGTAGAAGAGAAGACTGAGATAAATGGATGTCCTTCACCCCAAACCCAAGGCAAACGGTCAGAGAGAGGCAGCTGTTAGTCCCCAGGAGCCTTTGCAGAAGCCCTAGATCAGAAGGGCTTGGAAGGGGCTGATCAGAAGACCCAGAATCATGCAATAATGCAGAGAGATGCCAGTTGAAGCCCAAAACTCCATGAAGAAGAGCTTTAAGCACACACTAGTTCAGTCAATTCCCTTCTTATCCTTCTCTCAGTGAAAAACTGAGGGGGAAGGATGAGAAAGAGGGAGCAAGATAATTAAGCAACCAAGGGGTTTCTGTTAGCAAATATCTTTGGGAGACAGATAGAAAAAATAAGGCACTAGGAAATGTGGACCCTCTGCTGTAAATAGTTGTGTTTTCCCCCTAATAGCTATAAAAGTACTTGTACAAAATAAAAGATCTCTCCCCCAAAAAAGCCACCTTTATTTTTCTGAAGCAATCATCCTGCTTAAAAATAGACTCATCCTGCTGTATAAATTTTAAAAAAGTCACACCATGACAGAGAAGCGGGATGATGAGAGGAAAAAGATTTCAGGGCAACATGAAGGGACATTAACAGCTGACTATTTCCTCTTGTTCCATGACTCTTGAAAAAATATATTTGTTAAAACATAATAGATAAGCAAGAAATTTTATGCATCCCTTCTATACATTTTGAACCGAGGGGAAGAAATATTCTCTTGAGGCATTGTCCCTAGCTGGAAGAAAGATCCCTGGACTCTTACTTAGTCTAAGAGGTTGGTTGCTCAGCTGACAGTCTGAGTCTGATTAATTATGATTCAATCTGAAATTGAACCAAAAGAAGCATCAGACTTTTGAGCTACTCGTTTTAATTCAACCTGTAAGTTTTTTAGCCAAGTATATACTTAAAATTGAAACACTTGGACACACTGTGGATCCTAGGCAAGATGAAATTAAAGAGCTTGAATAAATGATGTTTGAATCTCATGAGAACAGAGTCCAAGCTCTTGAAAAGAAGGAAGGACATCTCAAGCTGAGATAATTCAGATCCAAAGCCAAAGCAGGAAATTTAATTTTGAATCTTCCTTCAAGTACAAGATCCACTAATGTCCCTTATGAGGAAGGGATTTTTTATTTTCCTTTTTAAAAAGGTTACCAGTACAGGTAAAGTTGGCCTTATCAAATCTGATAGCAACTTTCCTATAAAATAATAAATTTTATTAAATTTTCATGAGCTGCAGCTCACTTATCAGACATATAAAGTGGCCAGGCTCATGTACATAGAATTTAAATTGGGGAGAGGTGTAGTGGGCAAAATAGGTTGTTTGTGCAAATTAAGTTTGCATGATACAGATTACCAATATTTTATCTGTTAATAGTTATAATGTATTAAAATCCCATTGTGTTTGTTGTGATGTTCCGGGATTTTCTGAAACTTTGATGTATGTGAGTTCAACAATTTCTGGTCAACAGTGCTGCTAAAGACCCATTTTTTTCAAAACAGTCTTGAGGTAGAAGTCTTGGCATGTATGTATGCATGAAAGTTTGTAACATTCTGCATAATGTGGTGTTTGTGTGTCTATTGTATACTTTTACAGCAGCAACAACTTGTTCTGTAGATAGGTATAGGCTGAGGTTGATGGTGGGACTAGTCCCTGCAGTTTTCTTGGCAAGGGTGCCTGCTTTCCAGGACTGAGAGAGAGTGACTGGCCCAGGTTCACCCAGTTGGCTTTGTCCCTAAGGCAGAACTAGAACTCATGGTCTCCCATTTTCTAGCCTGATATCTTAACTATCACTACCACTACACCAAAGTCGCTCTCTTTTAAGTTGTTTAGCATGGAAAAATATTAGTAGAAGGCTGCGAACACCCATAAATGTAAAAATGCATATAATTTCATGATTAATATATATTCATTACTATATACAGGTACTCCTTGACTTAAGACCACAGTGGAACCCAAAATTTCTGTTGCTAAGGGAGACATTTGTTAAATGAATTTTGCCCCATTTTACGACCTTTCTTGCCGCAGTTGTTAAGTGAGTCACTGCAGTTGATATGTTAGTAACCTGATTGTTAAGTGAATCTGGTTTCCCCATTGACTTTGCTTGTTAGAAGGTCACAAAAGTTGATCACATGACCTTGGGGCACTGCAGTGGTCATAAATACGAACCAATTGCCAAACATCTGAATTTTGATCACATGATTATGGGGATGCTGCAAAAATCGTAACTCTGAAAAGTGGTCATAAGTCACTTTTTCTAGTGCCGTTGTAACTTTGAACAGTCACTAAATGAACTGTTGTACATCGAGGACTACCTGTACTAGTATATAAGAGGGATAGCTATGTTAATTTCACGAATATACTTTAAACAAATGAATAAGTAGATGTTAACATTTTATTAAGCAGTCACGTTCCAATATGTGTTCTTTCTCCCTCAACAGCAACTCCCAAATGAATGTGAGGAGTTTAATTTTCAGCTTTTCAACAATGCCATTGGCCAAGCACATTTACTTCTATTATGTTTTGTTCTATTCTGTGTTTTGGAAACAAAATTAAGTATGTATTTCAAAAAGAAATTGGAGAGGATTCCTGACAAGTATGTCTTTGTAATTATAGTCAGGATTTAGTTGTATTCAAGGCATTGAAAACCACTAGACATACTTGAAAGTTATTAGGGAAGAAACTGAAGCTTGTTTCTTGTTCACTTGAAAAGCTGATTCATTCATATTTTCCTATTTTATTTTAAAATGGCATATAAAATTTGGACTGAAAGCAGGGTTAACTCTGTAGATCAACATTTTGTTCTTTGTGTCTTTGTATTTTTGTGAGATTACAAAAAGAATACAACCTGCCTAAGATTGCTAATTAAGACATTTTATATTCACATTTGGTTCTTATAAATTGGTGGCCTTGGAAACTCTTATGATTAGATAATCCCCGTACTCCCAGGTTAAATCAACCTTTCAGTTGTAGAATTTTACAAATTTGGAATGAGGAATTGGAGTATCTTAATTTTCCATGTTGATATCTTCAGCTTTTAAAAAATTAAATAAATAAATATTTTCCTCAAGTTTTGAGATGAGAATAATTCACAAAACATTTTAGGGGAGGGTTTTTATTGGACTCATCAGGGACTGTTTCTAAAAGGCTAGCTATATATTTTTCTATCATAAACATGAAGATATAGTGACAAATACTTTGGCCATTGGCTGGAAATCCTCCACATAGTCAAGAAAATTTTGTCAAGGGAGATTGTGTTTAAATATATTAATATACTGATAAGTTACATCCCCCAAATTTTGAATTGATCTATTTATAAAGAATTTTGGATATCTTATGCTTTGATTGTTGTGAAAAAGATTGTTCTTAGAAAGACACTGGCACACCAGATTATAAAGAGCTACATAGTAAGCCTTTGATTTGGGTCTTTATCAACACAGTGGAAGGAACAAAGTATATGAGTCTCTGTCAAAGTTTAACTTAAAATTTGAGAAGCTTTAAATAGAGGAAACAAATTATATATTTATTTTATTACTTTGCCCACTTTTTTCTTTTTCTTTTTCATCCTTTCCCTCTCTTTTTTGTATAGCATTGTTATACTTTGTTTTCTTTTGGTGTATTAAAGCAATAGAAATAAAGTTAGGACAGATGAAGGTAAAAAGGCTCCTGCTGAAGGTACTTATCAAGGTATATTCATTTTATTTCTTGGGTGCAATATGGGGAGAAAATTGCAGACATTAAATTTGACCATGAGTTAATGCTGATTGAGGATGCAGTTTGGAGCTTTCCCAAAGGCTTACGGAATTGAACAGATCTCCAATAATTCATTCCTATATTTGAAAACTTATGTTTTTCTTCCTTAGGCAAAATATGTATGTCTTTATTCAAGCAGATAAAGAGTTCATTGGCTAACAGTTTTTCTTTTAATTTCTTTTATATAGAAAAAAGTCTAAGTATGTTGCCTGCAATAAATGTTTGTCTAGAACTTGATGGAGATTCTTCCTCAACATCAACAATTTTATCAGAGAAATTGTCATCGTTACCAAAGAAAATACTTGATTTTAGTTATCCTGAAATACAGGAAGCCCTGCTTACGCTTTTGGAAAATGAAAATTTGTTTCAAATAAATGTACAATTGACTCAAGGTTACTGCTTAGGTATGAAACATCACAGTGTTATTATTGTCCAATATGGAGCATTTGCTTTGAAGCCTGAACAAATACTTACCTATTGCTACTCAAAGCATTTACTGATTTTTATACATATAAAACCTTGCTATGACTAAAGTCCAGATTACTTGCCTACTGCCCTCTACCTATGAGTACTGGGATCGTATGTAATTTATTATTAAGGATAGTTCTTTATTTCAGAAAGTTGTCCTTTAAATTTATTTATTTTTCAAAAGCTACTTTTGTTCTTTTTGGTCATTTAGCTTTTGCCATACAAATGGTACCACTTAATGCACAGCCTTTCACACATGAAAAATATGAAAAAAAAATTGAATTTTGAATTGTTATTTTAAAAATAAATTTACATTTGTTTATTTAAAAATAAATATATGTTTTTAGATATTTTTATTAGAATATGTGCTTTTGTAGAGTTTTTCTTGGTTTTGCTTTTGCTTTTTCCTTTGTAAAACAATGTTATAAATACAAAATATTAAAAAATATCCAGGTGAATCTTTCAGATTTGCCCATTTTTCAGGTTTGTCCTTTATTTTTTGCAAGAAAATATCACTATAGAGACAACGAGCTATATAAATCCATAAAAATGAAATACATGTAAATGGAAACGGCTAAAGTACAGGTTTCTTGCCTACTGCCCTGTGTCTATGAGGGGATCATCTGGCTATCTCCTCTTCCTCACCTTAAGGGGAGATGAGCCCAGAAGCTGGCCTTTTCTATGGTTACTCCATTTAAATGCACTTTTCATTTGGCAAAGTAACTAAAATCTTATAAGAGAACATTGGAATTAAGTGATTCACTTTCAGTCATTATTTATATTAAATGTTTGTTTAAAAAATAAAAAACTTTTAATAAAAAAATACAAAGTATCAAGTAAGCATAATGCTATAAAATATAATGAAATAAAAACTTAGCAGTTAATGGGGCAATCATGCTTACTAGTTGGGAAAGATTTTGTCCAAACTTCAGTTGTTTATAATCAATTGTGATTTTTTTCCCCCTCCATAACCAGAGTAGTATTTCTCTTCATTGATGTTAGTAAAACAAATGTAACTTTAATAATTTTCATTTAGTATGTGATTCAAATACATTTTTCCTTGTATTATTTTGAGAAATTGTGAGTATATAGCAATTTCTTTATAAAAACATAATGTTTGGCCTTTTTTGTTTTAGATTTTGAAATTTTAATGGATGCAAACCGAAAAATAGCACTGACAAGTACAGAAGCAGATCAGTTGAAAGGGGATCCCAACCTCAAACGGTACTTTTATCTGAGTGTATGCTTTACTTAGTTTGTTGTGCAGTAGGCTGAATTTCTAGGCATAATTGTTTAGATGTCATGATCTGCAGAGAAAGACTTCATTTATTTCTCTGTGCAGACATCCAAATTTGAAGGGCAAAATGTACATGTGGGCACACTTAAAGAAACCATGTCATTTCCTGGGATTGAACAGGTGCCCTCCGTACCTGCTGTATAATCTCTGGAAAATAGAGGTACATTTTATGTGTACACACAAGAATTCATTGGGATGATCTCTCTTTTTTCTTCTTAAACTGTCATTCTAAGGCAATAGGTTTATAGCAGGGCTATAGGCATTAAGCTGAAGATTGTATCAGCCTTTGAATGACTGCAATGTAAAAGAGAGTGGTACTACACAGAAAGAGATGGAGATGTGTTTAACTGAAACACATATATGCATAAATCACATAATGTACCTATGCAGATAGGACAGGCTTTGGTTACAATTATCTAAGTGAAGAGCCTTTGGAATTTTCATCCTTATTTTGCTGTATTGATATTTCTGCAGACTGCTATAATTAATTATGTTGTTATTGTAGGCATTTCTCTTGTCCTTGTTTACAGGATAGCAGTGCTGTGCCCACCTGCAAGTGCTTTCTCAAATCCCTCACAACACCCAAAAGGCCGGTTGGCAATGAAAATAAGACATTTAAATCGACTGGGATACCAAGTTATATTGGTACGAAAACATATTGTTGAAATTATTAAGGGAGAATAACATTAGAATTTGTCCTTCCTTTTAAAGAGCAAAAGGGATACATCAGGAGCAACGAGTTCAAAAATTAAACCAGACAGCATGACTTCTGCAGTTTGCTAATTTATGTCATTATGCAGAAAATTATTAAAAAATTTTATTCAAAGTTTTTATATAAATTTTAATCAAAAGGCTTAGTGGATATAAGTATCTTATTTTAATTTGTTGGCTCTTTTAGCTCAATATTATATATACATCTGCTACGGTGCTGCAAGTTGCTGCAAGTTGCTACATGGGTCAATTTTTGGATCCACAGGGTGATCCTGGGATCTTTTTTCCCCCCCTTCATGCAGAGTATGTTCTGCAACATCAACCTAGAGCCCATTTTCAGTATTGATATTATTTGGTAACATAAAATATCACTTTGGAATATTGCTTGAAAGTATTATTCCTTGAACTTTGTGTTAAAACAATTGCAGTGAAAGCAGAGTCTTGGAGCATTGTTTAGAGATTAAACAATGCCAGTGTTCATCTCTTGGAGTGAACATGCAGTCTACATACAGTGTGAATTGAATTTGGCAGGTACTTCTATTACTTCTGCTTTTAGTACTTCTGTGCAATCAGTCAACATCAAAGGATAATCTAATGTAGAATCTACAGAGTGATAATTAGATAATTAGTGATCCTTCACAAAGCAGTGACTATTCTTACACATCTTGGCAATAATTAATTAACACTTAACACTGTTCCTTGATAAACTGGAACCCCTCTGTTAGGTTATTTGGTTCAGGAATGGCCCCCTTTAAGGTTAGAGGTAGAATGTCCTCACAAGCTCCAATATTCCCCCTCTTGTTTCATTATAATTATTTTTGATGTAAGATTTGTGCTAATTTACAGTTAATTCTTTTCTGTTCTTTTTGTTGTTGTCGTTGTCAAGGTTTCTTACAAGGAATTCCAAAAGCTGGAGAAAGATGAGGCAGTTTTATTCTTCAAAAGACAAATATTTTTGGCAGAAAACATCTAACGTCTGAATAAAGTACTCAAGATGGCTGTATTTAAAGCATATTTCTGAAATGAGCTTCTGGGAGCAAGTCCAGTTGAGTTCAATGAGATTTGGATTTTGAATATTAAATCATAGTAATTGTGCTACTTTTGTAGTTTTAAGAAAAAATATCTGAATAAGATTCCTTAATAATCCTGTCTCTCAAATTCATATCTCTTCTGAAAGTGAAGAAGGACATATGTATGTGACTGCAAGTATATTTACCATACCCAGTGGATGCTAACTATTGAGTAGGAATAAAAAATCTATTGTTTTCATTCTCAGTAAGAACTTGATTGCATAATAATTTATTGGCTTGCATACGAATATAAGTATTCTGTTCCTCTAGTTTCATACTTATTTATCAGATGCCATTTTGAAGATTCACTGTAAAATAGAATAATAGCTTATCAGATGCTATTTTGAAGATCCACTGTAAAGTATAATAATCAGGGATATTTATGTTTTTAAAATGTTTTAGAATAAATGATTTGGACCTATTGGATTACAGTTTCTAACATCTCCAGTCAAGCTGACCAGTGAAGACAGCCTAGGCCAGTGATGGCTAACCTTTTTGCCGTTGAGTGCCAAAAGCGGGGGGAGTGCAGGGGGGGGTCGTACCCATGCGCACCCACACCCATAATTTCTTCCTTGCAGCCTGGGGAGGGTGAAAACGGCCTCCCCCCTCCCCCCGGAGGCCCTCTGGAGGCCGGAAACAACCTGTTTCTCAACTTCCAGTGGGACCGGAAAGCCCATTTTTCACCCTCCCCAGGCTCCAGAGGTTTTCTAGGAGCCTGGGGAGGGCAAAAATAGCCTCCCCCTCCCCCCCCCGGAGGCCAGAAACAGCCTGTTTCCCGACTTCCGGAAGGCCCGAAAATTAGCTGGCTGGTGTGTGCATGCATGCTGGAGCTGAGCTAGGGCAATGCTCGCGTGCCCACCAATATGGCTCCGCGTGCCACCTGTGGCACGTGTGCCATAGGTTCGCCATCACAGGCCTAGGCTCTATTAAGGCTGAATCTGATATTTTATGCCAGTGCATTCGTTTGTCCTACAGGTGGTGCTATTTGTCTGATCATAACTCACATTTAGAAAGAGTTCTGTATTTCTTTTGATTTAGCTATATAGAACTTTTGCTCCCACTAAGAAAAGTGCTAGATAACATTTTCCCCCATTTCTGCCTTAATAGAACTAAATTACTCAAAAATGTGTTTCTTGAGAAAAATTCAAATCTCTTAATTTTTCTGAATTAGGGCTGACCAAAATGATTACAAATAATATTACATCTAGAAAGACCAAGAGGGGCATAAAGAGATTTAGAATATTCTTTCCATGTTGTTCAGATGACTTTTTGCACCATTAAAAGTGAGGTGGTTATGAGTGATCGAAATATTGTAGTGATCCAAATATAAAATATCCAAATATTTTATTGAAATGAATAACAAAACCCAGGTGCTTTATATGAGTTTCATATATCACTGGCGAGATGGGGGGCATACGATGTATGTGTATGTATATGTATATGTATATGTGTGTGTATATATCTATATATCTATATCTATATATGCACATATACATGCATGCATATGCATCCAGGAATAATGTTTCAAAAGCAATTCATATTCTACCCTGAACTTGCAGCAACCGATTAACCAAGAGATAATGAAATCTCATGGAAACTCAATATTTGGGTAAATTCCTGACTCTTTCTGCTTTCCCTCATATAGCAACCTATCTTGCAGTATATTTATTTCAAAATAATCCATGTGAAATATTTGGAGCGCTCATAGAACTGTAATCCTTACAGGAATGCATCATATCGTATCCTGAATAAATATATGTTGTTGAAAACTGTAATGTAGAACACTACATACATTTTTTTCACTTGGGCAGCAAGGTTCAGACATCAATTTTCAGATGTGAACTTTTAGGAATACTCACTAAAATGCAAACAGGCCTAACGTGGAAAAGTAGCCCAGATATTGTAGGTCTATTTTTATTTTAAGAATATTTTGAGAAAAGTTATGTAAAATAATAAAATGATATCCAGAATATTCACTAAAACAGTTTTCATCTTTTCACCAGGCTAAAAACAGGTAGTCTTTAACTTATGACCACAAAATTTATGTGGCTAAGTGAGAAATCAGTTGAGTGAGGTTTGCCCCATTCTACAACTTTTCTTGCCACTTTTCTTAAGTGAATCACTAAAGTTGTTCAATTAGTAACAGTTGTTAAGTGAATCTGGCTTCCCCATTGACTTTGCTTGTCAGAAGCTTGTATGAACCCATGTTCGTACGATTTGCATAATTTATACAGGTAGCGTTAAATTGGGCTTGATATTGTACTGCTTATTATGTATTCATTAATTCATTGTAAGGCTAGGGTATAACCTGCACTCAATAAATCAGTCTAGACTATTTTTAAAATGGATATATTGAACGTTAATTATTTCCCCAAAATTCTCAGAATGGGATAAGAGAAAGGGCAAAATAGTTTTCCTGCAAATATGAATGGCTTAACCCCATATTTCTGGAATTTTGAAATTTTTGTTTAGTTTTTTTTAGACAGATTAAGCCTCTCTATTTGGGGATTGGTGTAGCATGGGCAAGTAAGTGCCATCCGGAAGGTTTAGATAGATGTCAACCCAGTCACTACCCCAGACATTAGACCCACACATGTGGAAGACTAGCAAAATGAAAGAGCAGTGAGTGGCAGACAATTCACACACATGCACATACTTGTACACTTCTCATTGTGAAAGGTGGAAAATAGTCCACTGGGTAAGATCTGGCTAATCAGGATCTCAAACATCCAGAAACTTATACATGCAATTATCTTAAAGTGTTAAAATCAATATTTTGCTATAGTAACAGTTTATGTTCTATATTGAGAATAAGTACTTTGGTTTGATCTTTTGGTAATCTAATTTTTCAATTATATCATTTATTCAGTGCTTAGGCAGTTTTATATTGCTTGCCATTAAAAAAAACTGAAAATGTAAGTAGCTCGTTATCTCTCAGTGCATTAGAGTAATCTTTTTAGCTGGTTGAGACTCATATCGGGTTTCTTTTACAGATAAACTGAGTGTAATCAAATTCTGTATCTGCAAGATTTTTATTCTGTTGTTACAAGCAAAGCACTGATTATAAATGGTTCAAACATTTAGGAGGAACTTCCAAAAGATTACAAGAATCATCTTGATGTTCTACCATTTCTGTTGTGATTGCCCATTTATTTAGAAGAAACACTAGCAATCACTATAGCAATTAGGCATGCAGAGAGCCAGTTTGGTGTAGTGGGTAAGGCATCAGACTAGAAACTGGGAGACTCTGAGTTCTAGTCCCACCTTAGGCACAAAGCAAGCTGGGTGATCTTGGCCCGGTCACTTTCTCCCAGAAGAAGGGCAAACCTTGCCAAGAAAACTGCAGGGACTTGTCCAAGCAATCTTCAAGAATTGGACAATTGAACAGATGGGGAAAAAAAGGTGTGGATAGGATTATCTGAATACAATCTTTTCGTAGATGAAAATAAAGCTGTTTGGAACTCTTAGTGTAGGCAAGAAAGGCATAAGATGGCCTGTTCGTGTTATAAAGCAGGGTGGATAAAAATCAATGGCTTTTTTAAAAAATCAAAAAAATCAGATTTTTTTGATTTAAATTGGATTTTTTTGATTTTTATCGAATTTAATAATAATAATAATAATAATAATAATAATAATAATAATAATAATAATAATAATAATAATAATTTTATTTCTATACCGCCCTTCTCCCGAAGGACTCAGCGGTGTACAGCCTATTTAAAAACACAGACAAAACAGCAATATAAAATTTAAAATAATTAAATAAATTGGCTCAGATTTAAAACCCCCAAAAATTTAAATACCCCAATTTAAAACTATTGTGTTGATAGTCCGGCCTGGCGGAACAACAGGGTCTTCAGTGCGCAGCGAAACACCCGGAGGTCGGAGATCTTACGAATTTCCGGGGGCAGTTCATTCCACAGGGCTGGGGCTCCCACAGAGAAGGCCCTCCCCCTGGGTGTCGCCAGCCGACATAACTTGGCCGATGGCACCCGGAGGAGACCCTCTCTGTGGGAGCGAACTGGTCGGTGGGAGGCTATTGGTGGCAGAAGACGGTCTCGGAGGTACCCGGGTCCTATGCCATGGAGCGCTTTAAAGGTGGTAACCAACACCTTGAATCGCACCTGGAAGACCACTGGGAGCCAATGCAGCTCGCGCAGGAGGGGTGTCACATGGGCACAACGGGTTGCGCCCATAACCACCCGCGCGGCCGCATTCTGGACCAGTTGGAGCCTCCGAGTGCTCTTCAAGGGGAGCCCCATGTAGAGAGCATTACAATAGTCCAACCGGGAAGTAACAAGGGCATGAGTGACCGTGTGCAGGGCGTCCCGATCCAGAAAGGGCTGCAACTGGCGAATCAGGCGAACCTGATAAAAGGCCCCCCTGGCCACAGCCGTCATATGCTCTTCTAAAGACAGCCGCGCGTCCAAGAGGACACCCAGATTGCGAGCCCTCTCCGTGGGGGGCAAAGATTCACCCCCAATAGTCAGTGATGACACCTGCTGACTATATCGGGGCGCCGGAAGCCACAGCCACTCAGTTTATTTTAATAAAAAACTTTTGGGGTAAAAATCTGTCGTAAGATAGTTTTCTATTTAAGATACATAAATAATTTAGTTTATTCAGCATGAAATGGAGCTTAGTTATGTAGCATGAGGCTGTATATTCTGCAACACGGGCTATCGGTGAGTCAACAGTGGGTCAAAGGAGTAGCAGAGATGACAGTTGCTCTTTAAAAATTATGATTTAAATCGAGTTGATTTAAATCAAGCCTTTTTACTAGTGATTTAAATCATGATTTAAATTGTGATTTAAATCAACTCGATTTAAATCAAATCCACCCTGTTATAAAGTGAGGAAGATTGTAATTCAGAATCTTGATAAGAAAAAGCTATCAAGGCTGTCTGAAAGTAAAGTAGAAAACCTACTCTAGAGTAGTCCAGATGTTACAATCATGACAAATGGATTTTGAGATTTTTATTCTTACCAACTCTTCCATGTAACTTGACACTGTACCATTATGTCACTTGGGCTCAATGTAAACCAGCCCTCTAGCAGGCAGGGAGGCGAAGAGTCTATTCTTTTTCACTTATGAGAAATGTTACCTGACTCAGCCAAAGGGCATAAACAGTCTAATAGTCACAGACTGATAAGGGTATATTTAGAGGAAGATCAAAACATTAAGGCTGAACCATTAAATCAGAACATTGAAATCTGGATTAATAACCTTCCCCCTGCCTCCATTTTACACTGTTACTATTAACTGGAAAAAGTACAAATCACGTCTCAAAGGTGGCCAGCTTGTTTAGGCCTGAAATGTGTCATAAACCAGAAAATAGCATCTAATTTACATGTTTTCATTAACATAATTAACAGTTTGCATCACATTTGCTTGAACATCAAGGATGCGACCAATGCCAAATATGTTTCCTCCTCATAAATTTTATTATTATATGCCCTAAGGGGCCTTTAAATTTTAGATTTGTTTGTTTGTTTAAGCCAGGCAATCCTTTCTCACCAGCTGAGTTGGCCAACTGGTTGCACCAACTGAGATTTCAGTCTTTTTATTAAAAATGCTCCTATTGTATGCATAAGTCTCTCCCTCTAATAATTTGTCACAAAATATAAACCTAAAATCAACCTTGGGATTTTGTTTTTTAAAACTTTTTTCCAATTTTGGGAACATTGGATTTGTATAACTCTTCAGTAAATTAGTCTTAGATAATTATCGTTTCAGATTTTGCTTGCTGAAAAAAAGTTATCATGTGTTCTTATAATGAAATATGAAGGTCTCAGAAGAATCCACAAATTGCAAATATTTTATTCAAGGACATGGTTTGAGATTTCTAGATACATTAAATGATTTGAGACATAGACTGGGATGGACAGAAGGGAGGCAACTTGATTTAATCCTAAATGGTGATCATGATTTGGTATGGGTATTGTAGAACTGATAGAAAATGGTGGGAAGTAGGAAATTGGCATCCCACACACTCCTACTCGAATATACGCTTCTAAAAAGCTCTGGCAGGTCATCCAGTGGTCTAGGGTGCAGTATCATCAATATGCTAAGGACACCCAAATATACATTGCAACCCTGGGCTGCTCTGGAGAACTGTTGAAGTCTTGTCCCGCTATCTGGAGGCTGTAAGGACTGGATGGGAGATAACAGGCTTAAATTGAACCCTCACAAGACAGCTACTGTTGTTTGTATCTTAGGGTTTCTGTATAACCCTTCTCTTGACTCAGGATGAGTTGCAGTGTCCTGAAAGAGCAGGAGTGTAATTGGAGACCCTTCCTGGCTTTGCAGCTCCTCCTGTATCAGCAAGTGGAGGTCATAGAGGAAGGGGGTCTTCGTCCAGCTTCAAGCAAAGTAGCAGTTTTCCAGTGAGCATTTGGCCTTAGGTTAAGTGTGCAATGTTTTGAAAAAAGATACAGAGAAGGAGTGTGGAATTACAGGCTGGTCAATTTAATATCTCTTACGTAGCAAATATATAGAAAAAGGGGGGAAATATACTTAAAATACATAGAGTATGTTCACAGAGGACAGATTTTTCAAGGTAGTAAACATATCTAATATTCCTTCCTCTTCCTATTTTTCACACAACCACCATGTGAGATGGATTGGATTTAACTGACATTGAAGTCCCAGTTTCCAGTTTGTTTTCCTTGGCATAAGGAGTTTAGTACCCACAGAGTTAGGTTTGTGATTTTTAGCATGTAAGATACAGGCTCTTTCACCTGTAGCCCAACTCTCTGTCCTTACTAATGAGAATACACTATAGTTTATATTTCACAGTCAAATATCCCTGACTCAATGTACATGTGGCAGATATAGTCTTTAATCCAGGTAACTTCATAATTGAGAATGATGTGGACAACTACATTACATTTTATTATGTTTTTTAAAAGAAAGAAATCATACAAATTAGATGGAAGAATAATAATGTATAGTTAGTGAAATACAGCAGCTAAACAACAAATCTGAAATACAACACTAATATATGCCAGTGTATTCTTAAGAGGCATATGTAATATCCATTAACATATGCCCCTGTTGAACATTAAACTTAAATATTCTTGGTTAATACTGTATGGTGCAAATCATTTTAAAAGAGTGTAGATCATAAACAAATCAGTATTATCAAATCAAGATATGAACTCTCGAACTCAAATCTTGGATGTATAAAATTGTAATCCAAGAATGGTTTTCAATTAGAATTAAATTCTATGCTGGATTTACTTTTTAAATAAAAAGCTATTCTACACATTGAAGCATGCTCCCCAAAAAGCAAATAAAACTGACTTGCTCAGGGAGACTTTGCAGCTTGACATGGTTGATGTTTGTATCACTGGAGGAGGAATGTTCCTAATTGGTTGGTTCCAGTAAATGAGGTAAATTATTATATTGCTTTTATTTTGTAAATTATGTTTTAATCTTATTACAAATTTAAACATGTGGACCGTTCTAAGTCAGATATGAGTGGAGCTGCATTTAAACCTGATATTAAAAACAAAAACAAAGGTCAACTCCTGTTCTGTGTAAGAATCCCAGACAACAGTTAACTTATGCAGGAAGAAATAGAAGAAGCTCATTACCTATCATTGGTCATTGATTCCAATTGTTTAATTTTATATGTGGATTTCTTAAATTTGTAGGTTGCTTCATATTTATCATTACTAATACATTTTATGCATGAATAAATACTACCAAAATAAAGTATTTGTGGAATGTCAGTGAATCCTGTTTATCTTATCTGTTGAACAAAAAGAGAGAAATAACTTTTTTCTTTTAACACCTGTATGTGATGACATTCTTTTTATTTTTTAAAAAAGTGGCCAACATTTTCTTCTCAAGCCCTGAATGATATGTTAAGGACCTAAGAAAGATAGCATCAGGGAGAGTTCCAAAAGTGTCAGTAAAAGATAATTGGATAATTTTTCTTTACAAAAAATGTAAGTGATTACAAAATGAATGAAAGAAGAGAAGAAAATAGACAATATTTATATGGA